TATAGATTATAACTAGGTAGGGCTACTCCTGAGTTAGACACAGATTGCATTTAAAAACCAGTAGAAGTATCTTAATACCATTTCTGAAAGACACAGGTGTCCACTGAAGCTGCTTGAGAAATAGGTTCCCTAATTTTGGTATGAGGGACGATGCGTGCCACAGCATTCTGCACTCTCTGTATACTAGTAATGGAGTTCTTACATAAACCAGATAAGAGCATTACAGTAATCCAAACGAGCTGACACAAAAGCGTCTACAAGTTTCACCCAATTGGCACTATTTAGGATGTTGGGGATCTTGGGTATGTTCTTCAGGTGGTAAAATGCTGCTTTACGACCTTTCCTTATGATTTTTAAAATTGATGTTGCTGTCAAATAACTTATCGGTAATTACTGAAACAAATCAGTTGTAGGACTTCAATAACATTTAGAAGTGTCAGTCTGAAAATATTAATACTTCGTTTTCTAGTAGTAATTATTCAAAGATGAACAAATCTGTGCTAGAATCTGTTGCTCAAATATCCAAATTCTTGGTGTGCTCACCTCAAGAAGTGCAAAGATATGCCATAATGCAGATGTGGTTGGAAGTAAATATTCTCTTATTCTCTAGGCCAGGGGTGCACAGCTCTGGTCATGGAGGGCAGTTGTACAGCATAGTTTGGTGCTTTATCTACTCGAACACCTGATTACTCGTATGCTAATATTGTCAGGTTTAGTGGGTGTGTAAGAAACCTCCAAGCTGTGCTGGACACCAGAGCTGTGCACAGAATACTTGTAAAAGTATAGTACTGGTTTGTGCTTCATAATTTTCATAAACACTGTTTATGAATCAGTAAGACCTTGCATGCTAGCTCACTCTAACACCTCTCTCTCTTTTCAGGTCTGCTGGGGACAGGCCGTTCCGCGGTCGTGGAGGCGGCAGAGGAGGCCGTGGAGGACGGGGCAGAGGTGTTGGCCGAAGCGATGGATTTGATTTGCGTGGCAAACGTGAATTTGATAGACACAGTGGCAGCGATCGATCGTAAGTCATTCCAGTGCCTTTTACATGTCATTTTATGCTTTGCAGATTTGTGTTCCAGTGCAGCACTGGTGCATCTTTTAATATCTCAAAACTAAGTATGAATTTTTGTTTCAGCAGCCTGAAAGCAGAGGAAAAGCGAGGAGGAAGTGGATCTCACAACTGGGGCACTGTCAAGGATGAACTGAGGTCAGTGCAGCAGCTAATTCACATCCATATATACAGGGTTTGTGAAACCAATTGCAAAATCAGCTAGTATAAATGGATGTGCAACAGTGGAAGTACAAGGCTGATGTTCTCTGTAGTGTTCTCTGTAGGGTGTGTACTGGGATTTAGCACTTCTGCAGTTTAGCTGTTGTAGATGCTGGTATGTAATTTGAGGTAGTGTTGGAAAATGATTCATTTACATGTCCATGTCTGTGAACTTTTAATTATATACAAGCCATGATATGTTGCTGCAGAACAAGTGTTCGCCTGGTATTTCAGAAGATAATTCAAATATCCCAGTGCATTGTATGAATTTATCATTTTTCTCCTTTCAGCGAGCTTGACCAGTCAAATGTAACGGATGATGCCCATGAGGGAGAAGAGCACCCGCCTGCTGACTCTGAGAACAAGTGTGTATACATTTTGTATGAGCTTGATTTGTCTTTATGAACCTGCCATAATACACAGAATTGCTGAAGGGTTTTAAAAAGATCTTTTATTTAGTAGTGTGAAAGGTGTTTGGGAATTTTCCGTTTACCACCAACAGTGTTAGATAGAAATGAGTTCTGTCTAAAATAGGTCCAGATAATCTGTAATGAGTGTTTTTAACACATCACATTTTAATTGGACCCTTTTACACACTATCTTAACACAGGCGTTCATTACTTGCTAAGCTGAACATTTTGGAAGGGGGGGGAAACTTGTTAATGTAGGTTACAAAGTACTGTTGTAGCTCCTTACCTTTTTTGTACAGAAGGCATAATAACTGCTTGCGTGCATGTCATTGTGAAGTAGGTAGCGTTTATCAGTCAGGGCCTGTACTAATCTCACTAGAGCAAGGCTGTTATTATGTCTGTCTGGTTCATGATGCTCACTGTGACCTGTTGGTGTGATCCTGTCTCAGGGAGAATGAAGCTGAAGAGGTAAAAGAGGAAGGGCCTAAGGAGATGACTCTAGATGAATGGAAGGCCCAGCAGGACAAAGAGAGAGCCAAGGCTGACTTCAACATTCGCAAGGCCAACGAGGGAGCAGACTGGAAGAAAGGATACTTGCTGCATAAGTCCAAGGCCAAGGATGTATGTTTAGTTGTTGTCCTTAAATGTGAATGAGATTTCAACCCTTTGTGTGGTACAAGATTTAAAGTGAACAAAAGGAGTATGGGTTAGATAAGTCTGTGATGACAGCCCCCAAAGATAAATAGAGTTTTGCTTCAGAATAGCATTTTGTACTGAAAAAAATCTGTTTTAAACCTGAGCTGCATTCACTTATTTTGCCCATAGACTTATGCATGCAGTGGATTTGTTACTCACTTGAATTTATAGTAGTAGTGTGTGTTTTATGATAACTGGATTAAAAATTAATTTAAATGTTGTGAAGTCATGCTGGAAGAGGATGTTTTACGATCACATATAATAGTCATCTTTCTGACAGCAGTAAAATTCATTCGTATTAATAAGTGGTCGTCTAGTTATCAGAAAAAGGCTAGCATGTTTAACAAACTAAAATGAGATCCTTTTTCTTATTCCCATTCATCAGGCTCCTTCTGATGAAGCTTCTGGTGATCACCACTTCCGCAAACCAGCCAATGACATTACGACCCAGCTGGAGATTAACTTTGGGGACCTGGGCCGCCCTGGGCGTGGTCGCGGTGGACCTCGTGGAGGAAGAGGAGCCCGTGGGGGTGGGGGTGGAGCTGCCAGGCCGCCTCGTGAGCGCAGGCCAGATAAGGTAAGCTTCAGTGAGGGTATTTTAAGTGTGTGGACCAAAACTCTAGTCATTAACAATCCTTACACTGCAGGATGTTTTCCTGATACTGGTTAAGCTCTTAACACTAGACAGTGTAAAATAGAATTTCAGTTCAGTGACCACAATATAATTTTTTTTCCAAGACCAGTTTTTGTCTTTCATGGAAATCGGTCATGTATCATGGCCAGAGTGTATAATGAAGTTTGCAAGTACACTGAATTTAGACCATTTGAAGTGTCTATTGTCCATTTATGACAAACCCTGGAGGAAAGCATCTTAAAAATACATAAATATGTAGCTGCCATTAAGTTGTTTTGTGACACAAACTTGTTCTAGGTTAATGAATTTGATTCTCTGATGTAAAAGTACAGATGGAAAATTGGACTTTTCTGTAATTTTTCTGTTCTGTCACTGCATTTGGAACTTGTGCTTCATTCCAGACAGCCTTAATCATGTCTTTGTAAGATCTGTTGTATATGGGTTAATTTTTTTCCTCTTTTCAGGCAGGTGGAGTTTCGGCCCCCGATGTGGATGACCCGGAGGCTTTCCCGGCCCTGGCTTAAGCTCCCTGATGGGTAGCTATGATCAGCCATGCCACTGAGCCCCCTCCCTGGGCCCTTCGCTACGAGGCTTGCATGCTAATGGATCCTTCAGCAGATGAAATGATGGAAGACTGTCATCCATCCCATTCACCCCTGAGGACTGAATTTTACTTGTTTTAGAAAAAAAAGGAGAAAATCTTACAAAAAAAAGAAAGGACTTCTTGCTACTCAGAAGCAAATTATTGGTAGAGGTTTTGTATTCAGTATAAGGTAGCAGGGATGTTTTCATACAGTATTTTTTTCAGAGGTTATGCATTCTCCATGAATACTTTTTGTACTGCTGCTTGAAAATATGCGTTTCCAAAAACAGGTGTGAAGAGTACTTCAGTTAGCTTGTGGTGGCCCTTGGCTTGCTTTCTTCTTATGCCTTAGACACTCTCTTTAGGGATCACTTACAAGCGTATCTGCACAAAATACCGATCCGAGTATTTTGTTTTAAAAATGTTACTGCATTTTAGAGCAAGATTTGCGTTAAAGTTCTCAACGATTACACAATAGGCCTTTAACAGTTACAGATCTGAAATCTTGAATGAAGTAACAAGTGATTTGACTTGTAGCTTGATGCCAAAATCTTTGATTCTTCTACCTTCATCATAGCTATTGATAATCCTCTGAGAAATGTTTTCATAGCCCAAATGTGACTTTTGTTGAATGACCATTGTAAGAGTCAGGTTAGTGTACATTGACATCAGTGGCAGGTTACTTGCATTCATTCAATGCATTCATTTGTCACCACCTTTTAGGTTTTTAATAACTGTCAGGTTTACATTGTGCACTCCTGTTTACTGATACCAGTATAAATAAGTTCAAATTAATTTAATGCATCAGTCCTGTTTAGATTCAATTTTTCATTTTCTTTCTGCCCCGTAGCTTCTTGGAAACAGCACTACTGCATAGTTGTCCTGAAAGAAATACCAGTTGTTCAGTGTGGAACAACTGAGTGTTATGAAAATGTGTGAATTCTAACCCTGCTATTACTCAGACCTCTGTCCATAATTAAAAGATGGTCTATTCATATTGAGTTGTTGTGTGTGGACTTTAGTCACTTAAAATGTTTAACTTGTACTTAAAATGGGTATAAGGAAACTGCCCACCCACCAATGTTTCTCACTTGATTATTCCATTATTGAAAAACTGAAAATGAAAAACTGATATGGGTCAAACATCCTAAATTTGTGCTGTGATTCTGTTCAGCGTATACAATCATTGTTTTTGACTGTCTTGTGACTTAAGGTTAAGAGCTATTCAGTGGGTATAATATATGCATTTTGGGCAGTCCATAACCTTTCATTTCAGTTGTGGCACTTGCAAAGAAAGAATCCCACCGGCAGATTGCACAAAAAAGAAAAATGCCAGTATTGCTTGGCGATTCTGTTCAAATACAAAATCCTTGTATTTGTATTTTAAAGATGTTTGTCACAATATGTACAGCTGTATTTACAACAGAGTAATACTCAACTGAGGTAAATTATGGTCTCATTTTACAAGTCAGAAAAAACTTTAAAGCTCTGTGGTAACAGGTCTTTGCCGCATGGATTAGACTGAGCTGGTGCAATAAGGTCTTCTAACCAATATTCATAACCACATACAGTGAGAAGCAAAACTATTGGAGCAATGAGGCGAAATGGATTACTTTGGTTTTATATTCATTCAATTTGCATTCCAGATCAAAAAATGAGCGTTACACTAAAGCACAAAATGTATGGGCAATGTTTTCCATACAACATAAACCATACTGGGTATTACTGTCATGTTCCATTCTTCCGATTTCAGCTGAGCATAAGTACTGGGACAAATGAATGAACGGGTGATTCAGATTGCTCAGGTGTTTCATGTTCCCATAACTGCAAGCACATAAAAGAGATATGAATGTGTAAGGTTAGTTGTAGTCATTTGAGTTTGCATTAGGGGTCTTGTTTTGATGTAAAAGGTACAAAATAAGATGAAAACTAGAGAATTGACTATAATGGAAAAGCTTAGAACATGAGATTAAGCAAATTCCAGTGCAAGCCATTGCGAAACAACTGGGCATTCCAAAAACAACAGTATGGAATATTTTCAAAAAGAAAGAAACTACAGGCAGCGTAAGCAAGTTATGCCAATCAAATTATGCCAATCAGGCCCTCCGAGGAAGACATCAGTTTATGACGGGTACCTTGTGGAAAATGGGCAACATAAATGCTGGCATACCCATTCTTATCTTTTGACCTGGAATACAAATTTAAGGAATGTATAACAAAACTAACCTATTTTACATCATTTCCCAGTATTTTTGCTCCTCATGCTACATGATTTGCCTAATAATATAGTTTCTTACTGAACAGAACGGTTGGGTGAAGTGTCTTTTTGTTAGTGTTACAGAGTTGAGTGGCTTAGTCTGAAATGTGGCTGCCAGAAGTGGACCTCCTGACTGTAAAAGTCTGAGATAAAAGTGTAAACAACAGTATAGATTCATGCAGCACTCAGTTAACAGTTAAATTTCACTGCATGCAGAGGTTTAAATCACTGCAGTCTATTTTGACTATGTCCAGAGTCAGTTTTCCTCCAGTGGGCATCAGAGGGTCCAGGAAAGGGCTTGTTGGGCATGGAAAGAAGCCCATCACATCCATTTCCTCCTCTTCATCTTCTTCTTCTCCCCCACTCAATACTCCATGAGTAGAAATGTAGTCCACAGTAATGTCTGTGTTCCTGGAGGCCTGAGTAGTGTCTGAAGAGTTGGACAAGCTTTTGAGGTAAGAGCTGGTGGTGATGGGCTGGTAGGGTGATGAAGGGATGTGGTGCTCCCGGTCCTGAACTTTTGACCGCGAGTGACACGCTCCATCCATGGGGACGCTTTCTCCTTGGAGCAACTTCTCCCGGGGAAGTTCCTGCACCTCCACGGTATCTGGCTCCTCTTCACTCATACTGGAGTCACTGAGGTACAACTGTAGTTTCATCTCACCCTTTGAGGAGAACAGTAACATTAGTGCTTTTGAAGTACAAAAAAAGCCACAAAGGTAAGTTTTATAGGCTAGACTTGTTCACCTATCATGAGGGTAAAAAGACTGAAAAATACATCCATTCTATTTGTTTCATTTCTGGTGTTCTTTATGTTTTCTTTGTACTAAACCTGGGATTTGAAGTTAACTTAGGCTTTTCACATTTTTCTCTTTTCTCATTGAATTACTGTTGCACAAATAGCAATTTTTGTGGATATATGAGGATGGGCTGTTGGAACTGTTTTTTTCCCCCACTAGCTGGCTAATGCAGAAAGAGGCCAGACAGCTAACGCTACTGCCAGGAAGCTGATGTCTTTTCTGTTTTTGTAAGCCTCTACATCGGTTCATTTTTTTTATTTCCGTGGGAAAGTAGGGCATTCAAGCAATGAATGCTGTGTATTTAGTGATAAAATATTGATTACAGAAAGTAGAAGAAAGACATCAAATTATGAATTCTGTCAAACCGATCAAGCTGATGGATACATCGCTGTACTACGGAATATTACATATCATGACAAATAAAACATTAAACACTACTTTATGTCCAGAAAGCCTCTTTAATTATGTGTTTAAGCTTCCACTACTTGTTAACTACATTAGCCTCCTAGGGCCACAGCAAATCAGAAGAGACAAACTTTTACCCAGAACTCTTATAATTAACTGAAAATTTAACCCGTTAAACATAGATTATTTAGCATTTATTAGTATATAATAGTACAGGGAGATTCACTCAAAAGAGGCCCCGAATATTCTGTAATAACTCTCACTAGGATGAAGCAATCTGAACGCCCCTGCGTTGGAGCGATGAGGTAGGCGCCAGACAGCCATCGCAACCTTTAACCTCAGTTTGCAACTTCCGGGTGCATACCCCCATACCCCTTCACGTGTCTAGCAGAAAACAGAGATCACTTCCAGCATTGCATGTAATGCAATAGATTACACATACGTCAAAGTATGTAGTGTATTTTTTTGGTTCAAACTGCTTCATCCTAACAGGAGTTACAACAGAATATTTGGGGCCTTCAGAATATTGAAGCTCCCTTCATATCTATACACAACATGTCCAGACAACTCTTAAAAGTAGTATATTCAGCTCCTTTAAGGTGCACCCATTACTGACAGAGGCATCAATTGTGCACACCCAGCTTGTTTAATCTCCACAGAAAATCACTACCAATAAAATGAGATGCTTTGGAGGAATCCTAAGGTCATCATGCCCAATGACAAGTGTCAGCTAGAGTGGTATAAAGCCCCCCAGCATTAGTCTGTGGAGAAGTGAAACTGGTTCTCTATTTAGTGAACCACCAAATACCCTTGGAATAGGTTTTTAGCGATTGTGATCCAGAACTAATCATCCAACATCATTACCATCATGACCTCACTAAGGCTCTTGTGTCTAAATGCAATCAAACCCTCAGAGCAATGTTTCAACATCTAGTCTAAAACCTTCCCAAAAATAGTATAGAGGCTGTTACTACCGACAAACTCCCTTTTATCACCCTTGAATTTAAAAGAAACGTTGAACAAGCTGGTGTCTATGAACTTTGGGACAAACAGTGTAAGCAGGCATGGCATATTTGCATCTGCGGAGAAAAGCATATTCAGTCTGTGTGCACATGTGCAAATGAGCATGAGCCAGTACCTTCTCATTTGCACACTCTTTTGCCCATTTGCTATTTGCAGGATCTGGAACAATGCTTGGCATTAGGCAGTGACAACAGCGGGACAATCTGCAAGACAAATCAGATCATGCAGTGTTTTTCAAAATCATGTTCATCTATAATAAATGTGTAGTCTGGGAGATCGGGGTTCTTGTTTCTTGTGTCCTCACCTTGTGTGTACTGAGGAGAACTGACAGATGCACAGGAGAAAAAGACAGGTCAGGAAAATGGCACCACCAATTGACACTACCAGAGCCAGAGATTTCTCAGCTGAAAGAGGAAGACATGGGTGGCTCATTAAGATATGTAACAGAGAGGCAGAATATAGTCACTAGACAGAAAATATGATGCATATACCATGCTCAGTACAGGAGGACATGAGTTAATATTAATTCACAAATCCATTCTTACTACATCAGAATCCTAGAAGCTAATCGCAACAATGTGCACTAATAACTGTGGATAAAACTATTTCTAAAACATTCCTCATCAGTTATTAAAGGTACCATATCATAGAAACATTCATTTACTTCACACTTGCAATGCAATAGTTTGATGTAGTTTGTAAACATTGCTCAAGTTTAATAACATACCGTTTATTGCCCAGTCCATACAAGCCATACAGAGAAACTAAGCTGCAAAAACTGTCCAAATTTCAATTGTTTTTGTGATACATACATACATGCGCCTATTTAGCCACAGCACTTTAGCCACCCATTCACAGTGAAGGTATGAGCAGTGTTTTAGCCTGGACTGCTTTTTGAACAAGACACAAAACAGGACAGCCAATCAGCTCTGTTGTATTTACATTTACCTGTCTTAAAGCCACAGTAACAAAAACAGCTTCATTCTAAGGGACGAGGAGAGGTAATATGGAAATGGTCATGTAAAATGAATTAAAGCTTATTTTAGTACATAAATGCATGTAAGCATCATAAGTTGACCTCAAGGAAAATAATAAAATACAAGAAAAATGGAGTAAATGGGCCCCTGAAGCTTCTGCAGTGGTAGTACTGACCTTGCGACTGTTTGATAATATGAAGTGGTATTCACAAACCTCCCAAAGAATGACTCTAAATGAAAGAATTGCTAGCATGGCATTTTTAAATCTGACTAAAGAGCTGGCTTTGGGTTACCTGATGGAGCTCCTTGATGTGTTACAAAGTGGCACTCAAATCCTTTGGGTCCTTCTGCTGTAGTCTCGGCTGAGACCCAGAGCTTGTACTGCTGTCCCCGGGCCAGGCCAGTAATAGTATACTTTCTCTGGGGGTGACTAACACCTACAACAACAGCATGTCTCACAATCTCAGAAAACTCCAATAACAGGACGATTTGCCAATTTTTCCAAAATTCAGCAAGAAAAGAATGTAGCTGGGAGGGACTTAATTACAGGGCTCCAGAGTTTAACATGGTAAATAATTTCAGTACGGTAAAGTTTAGCCAAATATTAATATTCATACATACAGATTAGTCTCAATGCACTGAATATCTACCCAAAAAAAGTGACCCTTGTTTTTTTGCATTAATGTGACAAGCTTTGTGGGATTTCTCAGTTATGGTTTGTATAGAGTAGTTTAGTTTCTTACTGTAATTTTCAATTTTGCCTCCTGGCTCCTGCAGGTAGATTCTGTACTGTCTGATAAGACAGCCTCCTCTCTTTTCTGAAGGAACTTCCTGCCATGTGACTTCCACTCTGTCATATTTCACCATGGTGTCACAGTTAGGGCCCTGTTGTGGAGCTGTGGGTTCAAGGAAATAGTTGTTATGACACCTGTATATTTTTCTCCTTCAATTATTTTGAATTGAATCATTTTTATGAGCAGCTCTTTAACCTGATGGTAGAGGTGGGCGATATGAACTCGAATTTATATCAAAGTATTTTTTACTATTTAGACGATAATCACAGTATCAAAAAAGTAGAAAAAAAATATAATAGTAAGAGTAATAATAATAACAAAATACTGCAGAAATTATTATTATTACTAGTACTATTATTGTTGCCACTGTTGTTGTTATTATTATTATTATTATTATTATTATTACAGCAGTAATAGCACTAAAAAGTACTAAATACTACCAAACACACAGCTAATTCTTCAGTGTGGCAGTTTTAATGCTTCTGTACTGCAGCCTCTCTCTCATGTTTGAAGCAGTAAAAACACTCATCCTCAATTCCATTTTGCAGCTTGTATTTGGTGTCTAAAATAATATTTCACTATTTGCTATATCTAACAAAGATACCTCACTATTCCAGGCTTTTTAGGTTTATCACATTAACGTTACACCATGCCCAATGGAATGGTTTTACCAGCTGATTTGTTCTTCTTTGTCATTCTTAAGTTTCCTGGTCCACCAGGCTTGAAATGATTGCCCAATGAGAAGTCAAAATGCTGTCCAGGGTAAACAAATGTACAATGCTCTTTTAGGAATTATATCAAAGTGACAGATTTGACTGTTTATACATTTGGTAAAAGTATAATTGTAGAACTTTCTTGCTTCTCCGCTCAGCAGCACTGCTATGTGAATGACCAGCACATGCGAGCTGTAGCAGTCTGAAATTGACCCAAATGTATCTAGACTCGAACGTCTGAAACAGGGCATAGAACACAACATATTTATTGATATAGTACTATATTTAGAAAATGGCCCAAACATAGATGTTCTGCACCACTGTATAATTTTTACCTGTACTGCACTTTAGAACTAGCCAGATTTGCCGGCCGAACCACGTATCTGGCAACCCTGAATGAAAGGGAAAAATCTGTTTTGTCCAACAGAGCGAAACAAAAGAGTTCCTCGCAAAAAAATATGTGTGCACACTGCCCAGCGTGACTGGCAGTACTGAACATTATCATGAGGCTTCATGCACAGGGCACGTGCCCAACAATACACTCGCTTTGCGCGCACCCACATAAACCTATACCAAAAAACTCAGTGGTGCAGTTTTGTCTAAAATACCATTTTGTTGCATTTCTACAAGTTATTTTAGCTGTTCATGCTCATGTCTAGTTTGTCTCAGGGACATCACTGTTTTGGTTCACTGTGGTTGGGTTTATCAAGGTATCCAGAGTATGACAAAATTCATATAATGAGAGAACGTCATACCAGTATTCACTTTCATACCGATATACCACCACCCCTACCTGATGGCCATGTGGCAACATCGCTGAAAACAGCTTTATTTGTCCCAGATGGGCGAAGATAAATTACTGCACCGTCATAGCATTCAGCAGGCTGCAAACCTGTACAGAGAGAGGAGAGAGAGAGAGACAGACAGGAGATCAAAAGTTGTGGTCCAAAATTACTAATAATATTAACATACATAAGGCATGCATCCTAAACATATATCCTAAAAATGCAAACAGGAGCCCACCAAATTGGGGCTTAGGTGGTATCCATGGAGTCAAGAATGATTCAGTCAATACGATATCATAACTGACAGACTATCACACTTTACTAAAACCTGAGAGCACTACTATTCTTCCTCATACAAGAGATCCAATAACAGAAATTGACTGTCATTTACAGCTACATGTATGACGGAGAGGATTTTGGAGAAAGCAGCACCTAAGACTTTCTGACAAAAACAGTCAAAAACCTACATCACAGCATACAGTGTTATCTAGCACCATCTACCTTCACACATACTATTTCCATTACGCACTCTTACCATTTCAGACATACAAGTCCGACAATGTTTCGTCTCATTTTTTGTATAGAACTTTTTAACAGATTGTTAGGAAAGTAGGAAATGTTCACAGAGTTAAAAACAGTGTTTTGGTCTATTTCCTATGGTGGACAAATTACACAAATTTAGTAGAGAAACCCCTTCACCTAAGAAAAACATTGTAAAACATAAGCGGGTGGCAGTGTGTGCTAGTAAAGGGATGTGTGCAGGTTCAAATCCCAGCACTGACTGGGTGTACCTAGTTGCATCTTTGGGCAAGACACAATTTACAACTACCCTAAATGACAAACTGAAAGTCCTCTATTTATATCTCGACTTGGGTTAAAGTACAAAAGTACTTGCTGTTAAATGTACTTAAGTATCAAAATTAAAAGGCTGTGACATATTCCAATCCAACATTTCTCCTCTTATGTCTTCAGTTTGGGAAATGCTTGAAATTTTACTCCCCATGCAAACTCCTGAGGTATCAAGCATCTGATTTTACAATGGTATACACACTTTTATGGCATTTTGTTAAATTCTGAAAGCTTATTGGAGGTATGATTATACTGGTATTTAGAGGCAGGGTTACTGGTGCACGATGATTGGTTTGATTTATTTTGAAAGGGCATCACAGTCTTTCAGATATTATAGATAATGTTGTTTTCTCCCACTGTAAAAAGTAGGATGCTGTACTTTGAAATGGAGTGAAAGTAGAAGTATTCAAAATTTTAAATACTGTAATAAAGTACAGATACTTAAAAAAAAAGTACTCAAGTATAATAATGAAGTACTTTTACCTGTGAACTGAAACCTGAGGCCCCATCGGCCACATACAAATATTTTTCTGACTGTATAGGTTATATTACATCTATAAATCAGTGACAACAAATCCAGAAAGAGAACACAACTACACATTTACAGAAGTATAACTAACCAGTAATGTGAATAGTGTTTAGGTGGTGCTCCACTCTGATCCACTGAAGCTGCTGTTTTCGTCCAGCAGGATACCACTCCACCAGGTACTCTTTCACTGTGTCTTCCCTCAGCCAGGAGAGGGCGATACTGCGATTATCAACACGCTTGTGACTCAGGGATGAAAAATTATCTGCAGAGACACAAAACAAAACGAGCTGTTCAGAAATGTATTAAGCACTGCTAACAGCTAATAGCTAGATGTTAATAGCTAAGATTAAAAAAACAACTTTACAGCCTTTAAACAAAATGCATAAATGCCTCAGAGCCATAACTTGAACTGCAGGTTTTATGTGTGAAAATATGTATTTAACTGCAGTATGTTCATTTTACTCAAAAGGAAAAGCAACATAAAGAAGAGACAGAGAACTGCTGTTATGTCATTGTCATGTTATTATGTTATTATGGCCTACCTATTGGCTGCAGCTGAACGAGTCTGGCAGGAGACTGGCCCTTTGAGTTGACCGCAAAGATGTATACATTACATACAGAACAGGGCACTCTGTAACTTCTGTTTGGGGGTTTAATAAAAGCGCTGCTGATTTTCTTCCCCTGGTCCATCACACTCACATTATACCCCAGAATATTTCCTCTGGCATCTGATTTGCTCAGCTCCTAATCAAACAGTAACAGACCAGACATTCAAAATGAATTCATTTCCATTTGCACTGCTTTTAGCTTTAGGACATTTCCACACATCTTACACTTCAACATTTCAAGCAGGCCAAAATCTGATTCTGAGCTGTCCATTTTCAATGAAGCACGAGAAAATCATGGTGGCAGTAACTCTGGAAAGGACAGCAGTCAGCACTGTCATTTCCTCTAAGCCTTTACGTGATTTTTCATAAACTGAAACTTGAAAGACGTCTAGCTCTTGCTTTAACAGAGTGGTTAGAAGGATGCAGTTCACATCATGCAAGTCATTGCTCTGTAGTGGTTTGACCTTTATGTAGTTCCTAGGGAGGGGGGTTGTCTGGAGTAACAGCATGACTATACCATTCATTCCCATACATACAGAGAAGCAAACAGAGAAAAAGTATAAAATTTTTCAGGCCAAAATCCTGCCATCTTTGGCTGTGGAAGCATGATTTAAACACTTTATGTAATATCTTCCCCAAAGAGCTGTCTAAGTGTAAAATTACTGGACATACAAAACATGCTTTTGACACGTGGATAAATTCTGTGTAGCAATACTTGCCTTCCAAAATAGGTGGATATTCTTTTTGACTTTTTGTGTGGTTTCTTCAATATACCAAGCATCAACCATAGCTGAAGGAGCTAGAAAAAAACATTAAGAGCATTTACAAATTTATTCTTCTTAAGGTTGAAATCACTGACAGTACACCAAGTTATTACATGACATTGTGTTAATACATCTCTCAATATTATCTAAGATGGTAGTATGGTGGTATCATCAGAAATTATTTTTCAGTGGTCTATTATCATTGGAAAAAAAATTCTTTCTTTCTTTCAATTCAGTCAACCATCACTCTTTAGGACATTTTGTGGTTACAGAATATTCAGGGTAAATTTCACTGCTGGCAAAAAGTGGTGAAACCCAGGGAGTCAGGAATGATTCAGCTGAAGTCAATATGGTGCCACATCTGACTCTTTTAAGCTCAATGGGAATTTGGCAAAACCCTACGTTTGTAATAACATTTTCTGACACAAGAAAACCAATAACAGAAAAAAGCACCCTCTATAGCTACATGTCTTACAGACAGGCTTTTGGATGATAAGCAGCACTGGAGACTTTCTGACAAAAACTGACACAAATTTACGTCAGAACGTGCAGTAGAGTTATCTAACGCCATCTTACTTCTCACACACTATTTCCATACACATCTCAGCCTTTCAACACCTTGTACTTAGCATCACTGCTTAAAAAGAATAAAGCTATAAAACCAAAACTGATTAACTTTACAATGTTCCCTAGTTCTGCTACAGTGAACAGTGTACATGCGTCATTAAAGTGTCCATTTGTCACCTTCTTCATCAGTCAATTTCTCAGCCCTGCTCCACCCACTCCACACTCCTGTGGTCGGGCCAAGTTTCCATCTGACTTGAAACGTGTACAGGCTGTACGGATTCAGTGAAGTTATGGTCCAGCTTGTGCTTGAATTTGTGTGCTGAAAAGATACGACATACAATCACAAAATTATAATCTTTATATATATATATATATATATATACATATATATAATATATATATATATATATATATAATATACATATATATAATATATATATATATATTAGTCAACTTCAAATTGAACTTGGCAAAAAGGTGAGGGTTGCTGGGTGTCTTTTTGCAGTTGTTTCATTGTTTAAGAACTTGAACTAGCAGTGTATGTTTGCTGCCCCGTATGCATGCACTGTAAATTATTCTACTTGACTTCTGGCACAATATATATGCTCAGAGAAACAACCCTGAAACAGATGACTAATTTTACACCTTTGCAGTAGACCTTTGCTTTTGCAGCGCTCAGGGTGATTTTTTATTAAAAAAATACTAGTATACATATTCCTTGTATGCTAATTTATGTTTAATGCATGCACAAACCTCAATTTCAAAAAAGGTAGGACAGTACATGGAAAAAAACAGAAAAACAGAAAGCAGTGACCAGTAAATTCTGTTTGACTGGTATTAAATTGAAAGCAGTACAAAAGAATGAAATTTAATGTTTTATCTTATGAACAATTAACAGCACTTACAAATCATTTGAAGACTGAAGACACCAACTGATCCAGCAGATTTTTTGGCTATTATACAATTCTAGCTCACCTGTAAGGGGCCTAATTGTCAAATGTTGCTCTTCACAATGCGCACAACATTTTCAAAAGGTGACAGGACTGAACTGCAGGCAGATCTGTCTAGCACCTGCATTCTCTGATTATACAGCCACACTGTTGTAACATGTACAGAATGTGGCGTGGCACTATCATGGTGAAATAAGCATCGACATCCCTAAATAAAACAGTCTAGGAGGCACAACATGTAAAATGTGTATATATCTTTCAGCATTAATGGTGCCTCGACAGATATGCACATTACCCATGTCATGGGGACTAACCTCCCCATATCATGACAGAACCTGGCTTTTTAATTATACTGGTAACAATCTGGATGGTCCTTTTCTTCTTTGGCCCAGAGAGAACCTTTATGGTAATCTGATATTTGCATAAACAGTTTGAAAAGTTGACTCATCAGACCACAAGACACATTTCTACTGAGCATCAGTCCATTTCAGATGAGCGTGAAGCCAGAGGAGTTGACTGCATTTCTGGACATTGTTGACATATGACTTCCACTGTGCACATTTTGTGCAGAACTTGCACTTGTGACTGCAGCAATGAACAATGTTTACTGACAACGGTTTTGTCAAAGTATTCCTGAGCCAATGTGGTGATCTCCCTCATGGAACCATGCTGGTTTTTAATGCAGTGCTGTCTGAAGTATCGACAGTCATGGGCATTCAGTTGTGGTTTTCAGCCTCGCCTTTTACATGCAGAGATTTCTCCGGATTCTGCTCTCCAGATTCTGCTCTGGCTCATTGAGGCACATTGTTCTGAGACTGTTGGAAGATTTGCTAATGCATTTTTTTGGCAAAGTGCCGTGCCTCTACCCATCACTGCTCACAAAATACTAAGCCATTCCTGGATGCTCCTTTAATACCCAAGCATGACTGCAGCACCTGTATAATAAGGCTTAGTATGTAATAAGCCTGGGATTTTAGGGGCTTAAAAAGTTTCCCACCATTTAAGTTGCCCCTTCAAAACTTTTTTTCAGGAATTTCAGAATGAGCGTATATTTCCAAAAAACAATGAAGTTAATAAGGTAAAACATTAAATATCTTGTCTTTATAATAGTTTGCGTTTAAATGCATTTCAAAACAGATTTACAAATCACTGCTTTCTGTTTTATCAATTTTTTGGAACTTTGGTTTGTAATAACACCCCAAAATCAACAACAGACGTCAAACAGGTGTTACATTTATTAAGATAAAGAGTTATTAAAAGTTTATTAAGATTTAAGATATGCTTATCTTTTCTCCAATTACTAAAGAGCAAAACTAGCTTAGTGTATCTAAATATATAATGCAGCATGAGACTTTGCTACAGAACTGAATATAGGTAATTCTTAGCAAACCACAACCAAGCCATTCTGTTCTTGAGAAACATCAGTGGTTTTAAACTTCTTGTGAATCCTCTGAGATTTTTCATGTTGTCATACAACTAGTCTCCATTTGTGAAAAAGTTAAGCTAAAACCTATTATTTATAACAGGTCATCCACACTATGACTCTAAATGAACGATTTAGTGCTTATATATTTTGTCAAGGAGCATGTACAAAAAAAATGATCTCAAATGATAAAGGACACTTTGCACCAGAGTTAGCTAACGAACTTTCATGTTCATGGCAAGTTTTTGACTGTTTCTAATTTTTTAATTTGATTGTGGTGAAATGCATTTAAATTAAATCTGATATACTTTATTGTGGCCCTACATTAGGGAAATTTTACATTCATAATTTCATCATTTCGCATCCAACGTGCTTGACAATACAGTCAAAAAATTTGAATTGGTCTGGTCTCTACAGAACTTGTAGAGCTTCTATAAATAAGCTCTCCTTAATAATGTTGGTTGAAGATCATTTAGACAGATGCACACTGTTATTTTTGTTTATGATATTAAAGACTGTAGTTAAAGTCAGCTGTACAGATGTTTGTCCAATAGGTGAATCTTAGTCCCAGTTTATTTTGACACAGTTCAAAACAGTTCCTATGCTTGTGCACTGCTCTCGTCTGCCTTAATAAATACAACAAAGTGTCACATCATTTAGTGAATAATCAATTAAAAAAATCTCTATATACACAGAACAGTTTATTGTTTAGGATTAATGTACAAAACTAACCATACGATGGAGCAAGTGTCAACTGTAGTCGTGTTAAACTGATAACTTCTAGTGCACAAGAAAGGCATTGCACAACGCCCTTTACTTCTTGTCTCAATTGATTATTTAGCGGTGCAACTTGAGAAGACATTTGAGGAGATTATACATTTATATTACAAATGGAGTCATCAGAACAAATTTAAAAGTTGGCATATAAATAAAATGTGCACAGATTGTTAAAAAAAACTCCAAACTTTTTAACAGTGAAATAAATGGTAGTTATGCCACCTCATGGGGATAGCAAAATCCCCTAGACATTTTTCTGTCTAGATCTGAATCAGCCCTCAAAGAGCTTGTGCTCAACAGACTAACATAATCAGTTAGATTTTGTGGGCTGCCAGCATTACCGTGAGTCAACGGTCTACTGCTGCTATTTTGTGCTGGAATCTTATCATGTAATCATCTTATCAAGACATAAAGTGGTTTTTGGTATTTGAAGAGGGATACCAAACCTGTGTATATCAGTTAACCAATCAGATTTCACATATTACAATGAATCTGCAATGTCAGTTCCAAGTACCTACATTGAATGACACAGTGTTCCAGCTCCCCTCATCCGCTCTGTACTGGATCTCCACCAGCTGAATGCTTTGTGCGTTATCTGGGTAAACGTGGCACTGTCTTGAGGTGCACTCCACTTTCTTGATATTTGGGCTCAAAGGCTTCACTGTACACAGTTAGAACACCAGAAAGACATGGAGCGTAAGTCAGCCTGTAAACATACTAAATTATTATTAGAGCTGTCTAGATAGAGTAATAAACACAGTGTCTGGCAGACACTCATTTATGGTCATTTTTTGTCATACAGTCTTTTCATAATTTTTAATACTTCATTTTCCAATGAAATATTTATGAATATTTAAGAAGATATTAATGGTTAGTTATTGTTTAGTTAAGCCCATTATATTGTTTGCTCTTTTTAATTAAGCTTTAAACACTTAATTAATCACCAAAATATTCAATATATCACTTGATTAAAATAATCAGTAGTAACAGCCCAAACTGTGCGCAATTGCTTTGAGACAACATCACTTTTTCAAATAAAGTGAACAATATAGGCTTGTTTTTCTACTGCACCTATGTCGTTGAGCATGAAGCTGAGGACACCTGAGGTTGCAGAGCCCAGGCTGTTGCTGGCTTTGACCAACACTGAAAAGTTAGTCTTTGCGGCTGGAATGGGAAAAACGGCTGAAAGGGTCCCATCAGGGAGTGTAACGCTTGCATAGTCAACAGGGTCTCCACCCACCCTGCAAAAACAAAAACAATATGACTCACAATATGTAACATCATCTAACTGAGTGGTTGTGTGTTTGTGTGTAACTGGGACACATTAAGTTAGGCGGTATTGATACATTTCACAACATCACATTACAACATTTTCCAGTATATATCAGTAATAGATGATATTTAAGTTTGCAATAATAAACTTACTACTGATACAAATCTAAACACTGATATAGCTTGTTTAGGCTGAACTGCTTTGTTCTGGTTTCTTCTATTAAAATGACACCAAAGGGAATCTTACACAGTATTGTAAATGTGAAACAGACATAAACCAGATTTCCAAAAAGGAAACTTGATATTTATTTAGTTTTTATGTATTTAAACTGTTCTTAAAACAATCTGAAGCACCCAGCAAATGACACAGAATTCAGTTAACTAAGTTTTTGTATGATAAGTGAAGCCAAAGATCCTTCTTAAAAAGGTGATCTGATTTCTCTCTTTACTAACCACAGGCGTGACGTGGTCTGGATGTAGGTTTCCCGTCCCGCTTTCCATGTGCAGTTCACATTTCCAAGTTCTCCTTCTTGAACACAAGTGAGGTTCTGTGGAATCTCAGGCGGATCTGAAAAAGAAGTCAAAAAGCTTCTAATATGACTGTACTTGGGTGATTGTGTGTCATGTGTTAAAACAAACAGGGAACTTTGTACAACATGTACACATCACATCGGTTTTAACAGCCTCCACCCTTCTACTGCACTTGTGCATTGCCCTGTCTTTACTCCTGCGTTTCCCTAGTCAGTTCTCGGTTCATATAACACCCAGCATTTTCAGGCTATTTCTCTAAGCAGTTGTGAAAATTCAGCTCAGAAACTTCCTGAGGAGGAGCAAATGTACATGTACAGTTATGCAGAACTTATGTTAAAGAATGCTGTATTGAGTATATACATACACCCCGGAGTGATGTCAGTCCCACAGGGCTCTGGATTGTCACCACACTTGCAGGTGAAGGTGGTGGTCTGTGTAAGATTCACAATGCTCTGTCTCACGTGGGTTGAATTGCAGCTTGTGCACTGTAAGCGCACATTATCTTGGAAAATCAAAGTTTTGCACCCCTTCTTGAAGATACAGTAGATCTGGAAGCTGGAGCCCATGTGGACTTCCTTGCTCGAGTGTATAGAGCATATTTTCTCTGGGAGACAGGCAGACACAGGACAAACACAGTGAGACACACAGGCTATTCTCATGTGAGGCTGATACGAAACACTACTGAAAGCGAATTCAAATGACCTTAGGAGGTCTTAAATTTTATGCTACACACCATCCGCTCCTTTGCTGCCAGCAGGTGCTCCAGTAGCCAAGACCAGCAGGAAGATGAAGTTGGACCAAATACTGCATTTAAGAGGCATGGAACCCACCTGCTCCAGCTGTACGTCCACTTCTACCATACCGAGGGCTGAGGAGACAGCAATAGTCTTAATAACAGCTGACTATGGCCTAATTATAGAGGACAGAGCTGAGGCAGGCTGAGGCAGAGTGGACTTGCTAGTGAGTCATTTTGCGTACACCGTAACTCTGCTGACTCTACTGTTGTCGTTTTTATCGTCTTTATTAACCATTCCACAAAACTTTACATTCTAGCTCTTTTTGTGGCTGAGTGGAGTGACTCACCTGGGTCATCTGTCCATATTTCTGGGGACGCTCCAGTCGTTTTAGACCTAATTTAATTCGAAAAAGTCGAAAACTGTCGGTCTAAGTCTTCTTGCTCTCCCTCACACGTCGTTCATGTGCGCGCGCTCCTTCCCTGCTCAGACAGGAGCGCGCAGGGGGCGGAGCCAAGAGCCAACACACACACACACACACACACACACACACACACTGGAGAATAAAAAACAACGCCCATCTTTATCACCAGCACAGCCTCATCAGTTCGTGTAGTTCTACTCAGCGCCGCATAAGAGACACAAACTGGTCCAAGTACAGTATTCTTACTTGATTAAAAAGGCTGCGTCCCAATCTGCATACCACACGAACAAAACAGCATGTCAACACAGCAGAGCGGCATAAGTAGCACATTATTTAGCATGTCTAATATGCGTGGCATAGTCTAGTATGTGGTTTTGGAGGCGGCCCAGGTGACTTTTGGACATTTCAGTGTCTTCAGCATGAACAGACTAGGAGGAGGCTAAACTCATACTGAACTAGACACATAAGGAGTCAGCTTCAGTGAAATCACTGAGCTGAAATACAGTGAGGGGACACCAGTATTTAGACACTTGTTTTTGTTATATAATATTATACCGTCACAGTATACTTCATATTTACACACATAATACATTTTTACTTTGTACTTATAGAAATACACAAATTATGATACGAAGATACAGCAAAGATATGTTTAAAAAACGAAATTGGCAGGGAAAAAGTGTTCAGACACTACACTGAAATATACATGAACATTGCAAAATAAAACATAAATCTCTACATAGAATACATTTCTACACTAAGGTTGCAAAATAAAAACAAAATGAATGTTCTTATGCAAATTGCACCTGATATCATTATGAAAGATGCTGCCTATTGGTTGGGAAGATTTCATACAACAAATAGCAATCATGAAGGTGAAGGAGCTTCCTAAAGGGCTCAGGGACAACACTGGTCAACCACACTTGGATATGGTAGAAGCTACAGAGCCATAGCAAAGACCTTAAACAGCCCAACTCGTTTGAATATATGCAAGTGGAACGTTCGTGGAACCACAACTAATCATCCCAAGACAGGTCCACAATGCAAGATTTCTTTCAGACAAAAAAAGAAAGAGTTGCAGGATGACCTGAAAGCAGCAGGAACGACAGTTACATACAGAGCAATGAGCAATGAACTCCACAGCTGAGATCTCCGTTCCTACACCCCACGCAAAACTCCTGTGCTAAGCTCAGAGATGAGCATGAAAGTTTCACAGGAGCATTTAGACAAATCAGAACTCTTCAGAAACCATGTACTCTGGTCAGATAAAACAAAAATAGAACTAAATTATTGGCAATAATTCAGCTCCACGTTGGAGAAAGAAGAGTTGTGTGTATGATCTCAAGAACAACTCACAGTGAAGTATGGAGGTGGGAGCATCATAATGTCGAGCTGCTTTCCTTCAGACAGTACTGGGGCACTGTGTGTTATTGAAGGAAACTTGAAAGGATGAATGGAGCAATGTGCCGAGACATATTAGAGGAGAATTTAGTCTCATCAGACAAGAACAGGGAGAAGGTGGACTGTTCGACAAGACAGCAATTACTTCTTATCGTGAACATCTCAAAGCTGCAATCGCCAACAATGGCTTTGCAACAAAGTAGTAGTGTTATTAATCTGTGGTGTCTGAATATTTTCTCGTATCCTTTTCATTTTTTAAACATATCTTTGTTCATGGTTTTAAATATTTTTTTTTATTCATATTTTAAGTACCAAATCAAAAAACATTATGTGCATAAAATTGAAGTGGCTATATGTGCTGGAAGTATATTAAATAACAAAAAAGAAGATGTATGCATACTTGTTTCCCCATTACTGTAACAAAAGCTGCCAAAGCAGCATGAGTAGGGGGAAAGAGACATCAGGTCCTGAAACTCCTCAAGTACTGAGTTCCCCAGTGCAGAGGAAATCATTAGTTTATTCAGCATTTTTTTAGCACAGGAACCATCGTTTCTTAACTTTTGTTCTTCTCTTTTAGAGATCCTTGTGAAATAAAGGGCAAAAGCTCAATGAAGTGAAAGCAGCCTAGAACAGAATGAAACAGAATGAAATTAAAAAGGAAAGGAATCACAAAGGAATTACAAACTCACAAACTCAGCGTGAATGTGTGAAAGTAAAATTTGAGTTACTATAAATATATAGATATATTTTTTGGTGTACATACATATCAGCATATGTAAAAGTATTATCATTTATTATCAACAATAAAATAACAAACAAACAGAAGAACCTAAAACTTGAACACCACAAAGTAAATGTCACAGTTACTACCCACCTCTGCCAAACGCAATTTTTTACCAACCACATTAGTCCACTCTGAATTTTCAGAGAAGTTACTCTTTGTAACTTGGTACTTTACAAAGCTTTTGGAGTGAGCAGCCAAAAGCATACGGACTTTTTCTGTGGTTGTAGACCACAGTTATCACCATGCACTAAATGTTTACATTAGTCTGCCAGTATAATATTTAAAAATTATAAATAATGAATAAATCATGTTGTACTTTGTGAAATGTCTGTTTGAAAATGGTTACCATGCATTATGAGTAAGAGAGATAAATAGATGTCAGGGCTGTCTGTGTAGGGTTTTTGGTGGCAGATGTCTGGTGAAGTATGTTGTTAAGAAATTTGATCTGTGAGTGTATAATTGTGTCAGTATCTATATGAGGGGCCCAATAAAGATTTAAGGGGGGCCTCCAAAAGTTACATCACAAGATGGAATATTATAGCCTGTTTAGCTAATGGAGATGGATCAGCTGCTTAGGACTGTATTCGAAATAACTGCACTTAAAATGTGGAAATTTCTTTTTTTCTTTCTGTAAAGCTGCTTTGTGACAACACCTGTTGTAAAAAATGCTATATAAATTAACTTTGACTTGACTTGATTTTTGTCAAAAAAGAAAGTGTGCTTGCTACAGAGGCTTCTTTCAAATTTAACCCACAATGGTAAACTTTTCTTCTGTTATCACGGCCTAATGCTATCTAGGATCAAACACCAACCTCTACCACAAACCATGCAATAGGAATTACAGTGTAATATCTTCTTATTGCTTTCTGACTAGTAGTTGTAATGGCAAACAGGTCTGAAAGACTTTTTCAACGCACAAAGATATCTGAGAAGTATTGCCCAAAAGCCTGAGGCTATACTGAAAACCTGTTGACCATGTCAACTGTTTTTGTTCACGTCAAGGCCTTTGTAGAAAAAGGTCTGACTTTTTTTGTCAAGCTTCCATTGAAGCTTGTGTTCAGACTAATTTCTACTCAAATTGTCTGCTAATATCATTTGTAATAAAAACTTTGTAATAGACAAAAAGACTTAGACTTATGGACCCCACTGTATGTGGTCTTACTGTTTTTCTTTGACTAGTGATTATTCTGTGAGTTTAAGTAATTATTCAGCTGCACTTTTCCTTAACAAAACCTTCTTCCAGGTGTTTGATGATACATTATGGTAATCTGCTTCAGACTGTACCCTGGTTGTGATCAAGTGTTGTAATATGAGCGTCTTTTCTTTCTTTTTTTTTCTTTCTATGCACAGATCATATTTGTGAATGTTATTTGAATTTTACTTTTCATGGTTTGACTGATTGCAAGCTTGTGTAAATTCCACTAACTTCTTTGCTCAATCATGATGTGATGTGATTTGTAGCTAGCATTGTAAAGCTGGAATAATCCACAAGAAATAATACTTATTGTAAGTTTGGGTAAAACAGTGCTTTAGCACAGTAAGAGGAGGGTGCAGCTTCTCACATGCTTCAGGATGGTGTGAGAACTTTCTCAGGAAGTTATAAAAACAGCCTTGCGGGCCATGTGGTTCTGCAAAGTGTGAAGGTGACTAAAACTAAGTACTGAAACAAGTCTCATACCCAGTCACCATGCAAAATGTATTTAAATACACTTAAAAAGATTCAATCTCACAACAGCTTCTAATTAGCATACGTTTTTTATGCCTCAGTTGGTTACCAACATTACTTCACATTACAGCATAATCACACACTTCTTCTGTACAGGAATAATTATGTAAATAGCAGGACAGTCACTATCAGGACTGGTTAAAAAAAGGGACTGAATTTTGAATGTGGCAGGAACCGACCCAACATACTTGTATATATGTCAGTACATAATTTTATACGAAAGGTTACAGATGGTTGTGGTGATGCTAATGGAGTTCATTTCCTTTTTTTGAATTCCTTTCTGCACATTTCACTTTCTGTGTTGTTATGTAGTTTCGGGAAAACAAAGCCTGAAAACTGCAGCCTCATGTTCACAGTAGATGGTAAAATAATCCATATGCGGCAAGGTTAAGATAGTATGTGTGTATTTTATGAACAGAATATGCAGCCAGCATGGTTTGCATGATGAAAAGCATTCATAATTCGAAACACTAACAAGCATAGTGCATTTAATGCAGTTTTCTCCAACCGGCATAGGCAGGACAATACACTGCAAGACACATCAGCTTAAAATGGGTCTTTATCAGTTCCGCACATTGAAAACATTGACTAATTGAAAAGAGATTCGTAAAGTGATCAATCATGCTTGACATCATTTGAATGACTGGGCACACTACAGTATAGGTGGACTTTATTAAGCCTTTGTAATGCTCTTATTATGCTTTAACAATCCATTAACCAATCTAGTGAAAAATAGCTAGGGGGAACTAAGCGTTTTCCAGAGAACTTTTATTTCCATATTATACATCATAATATTTTGCACAACATTACAGGTGTCCATTATTATGCATTTATTAAGCCTCATTAAGCCAATAACTACTAACAAACTAATAAAGCCAATGACGGCTAATTAACTGGCTGCTCATTACTACTTTATTAAGCAGCAAATAGAGTGAATTAAGCATCTACCAAAGCACCTTTAATTGTGTATTATACCCAATAGTCTTGCGCACACCTTGAGTATTAGGTCCATATGGAATAAGCTTATGAAGTATGTGAAAAAATACCTTATTAGGAACATTGCATCCCATTAGAATTGTTGTTTTTTCTTTTCAAAGCACTAATTTGGATTTTTCTTTTGATTCTTATTCATACCTCAACAGTATATCACCAATTCGCTTAAAATAAACACAAACCGATCTATTTTTAAGTGAAACCTTAGTAGTAACTGCAATGAGCAGCCAGTTAACTACGAGCAACAGGCTTTGTAAGGTTTAATAAGAGCATTACAAGTACTCTGGGAAATGTTTAATTAAACATAGTTATGGCCTAATAAAACCATTAAATGGGCATTATTGCATCCCCTATATTGAAGTGTTACTCAAAGTTATACAACAGTTCATCTTTACAGCACAGAAGTTCCTCTAAAGAACCACACTGTTCCAGTCAGTACTGAGGTGTCTATAAACCTGACTAAAACTTGTGATGGTTCTTTTCATCACAACATTTTAATGCCATACTTCTGAAGTAAAGTTACACAAATTACACAAATTACTGTAAAGGAAAAGTTGAAGTATTTCAAAAGGTTTTCAAAACCCATTTCAATGGTTGTATCCAGAACTCCATGTGATCTTCAACCTTTGAATTATGTGATTCCTCATGAGGACAATGTAGGGCAGTGTAGCTGTATCACTATAATATCTCACAGAAATTAATGCTTAAAATAAAACGTGGTTATACACCTGAACTGGTGATACCGAAGTTACTCCACACATCCATAAATAGTGTGTAACCTCAGAAGGTCCATTTAGTTTATGTAGAATGTTTCCTTTTCCCTTACATAAGTACAGATTCGCTTGGTTTATGGTTGGTAGTTGAGCATCACACTCTGATGTAGAGCATCACACTCGGATGTAGAGCATCACACTCGGATGTTTGTAGATGTAGAACATTTGTAGAGCTTTTTAGAGCAACTGCTCATCAACCTGTAGAGTATGCAGAGCTGCTTGGGTATGTAGCAATGTGCTAGCCCTCTGTGGTGAGTGAGGCCTGATACTAAAGGAAGGTTCTCTCAAGCACTTCGCTAAGTCATTGGGCAGCACTGTTTGGCCTTTGTATGAGTTCTCGTCACAATTTCCAGTCTCTGCCTCAAATGCCCTGTCTCCTTCTGCCCTCCAGATTTCTTCCTCTAAAGTAGTCCGAGTAAGAATGATCAATCCATCAACAACATCCACAGATATGGGTGTTCCATCCACAGTCAAACAGCTCTTCAGAGGTCCATGAATTTCTTGACTTGGAAGAAACTCATCATCAAAGTTACTGAAGCCAGGTGAGAGGACCAGCCAGGGATTCTCATCTTCTTCGTTCTCTGCTGCCTCAGAGACTGCCTCAACTCTTTGAGAAACAATTGAGATTTGAGGTTTATAAGGACAGCTTGCCCAGTCCTGCGCAGGCTTTCTCTCCTCTGTGGTGTCGTCTTTATGGACGATGGGGTACACATCCTTAATTTCCACAGGTGGACTAAAGTCTTCAACTGGAGACAAGGGTGGATCACTGTCCACAGGCTGCCAGCAAAGATCAGACCATTTTTCACATTTTTCATCCTAAGAACAAGAACATAAGTCACATCAATTGCATACAGTGAAGGATAGCCTAGAGCAGTTTCCCAACCACCAAGCTGAACTTTAGCCTTGGGCCAATAATTCATATTATTAAATCCTGTGATAACTTAAATATGTCATGCAAATTCACACAAATTAACATTCTTTTGTCCTCTTTCACAAGCTATGTTTTTTATTTTTATTATTATTATTATTATTGCTTATCTGTGGTTAGTTAAAAATGCATACAACAGAAGAGATTGAACAAAGATTTGAATGACACTTGGGAAGTTGGTAACATGCAAATGTGCAACTAAAACAAAGAAACTGAAGTACATGAGATTTACTTTCTGGTAGAAAGCAAAATGGACAAGCTTGTCCAGCAGAAGGCTGTCAATGTGCCAGTTCAACAATACTTTGGCTTCCATCCAAATGAATGTGGAGAACTACTGGATGTAAACAGTGTTATATGCCATCTATGCATAATATAGTTATTCTTCTAAATGCCTATGTAATTTTAGAAGCTAGCCCATATCGGTAATTATATGGTAATTATATTACCATCAGTGCAAGCTATACGGTAAGGCTCTGTAACGCTCACATGTGGAACTTCATACCTGAGCTTGTATCATGATAATATCGCTTATCGTCGGTAATCACTTATCTAAATTTATACTATTGTTCAAACTTACTGAATATATCAAATTATGATGACAAAGGGAGTTTTGTTGTCATTTGTGAACATGCAAATCATTTCTTCTCACTAATTCATACCATACATACCATATAAAGTCCTGTTATAAAAAGTCCTATTCTGTTGCTGTAGTTTAGTCTAAGCGCAAAACTTTTCAAATGTACAAATTCTGATTGGAATCAAATGACTACACTATGTAGTGTAGTATGTAGCATGTAGTACCTGCAGAAGTTTGATAGCATTGCTGTTTCCAAGCTTTGGTAAATTTTCAAAAAGCCAAGAGGGTCCCACTGACATACATGTCTTCCTTATTCTACAAAAATAGGGACATTTTGGACATTATGGAGCAGTAATTACACAGTCAAGTAGTAATAAGGACAACATAATTTAAGTGAGCAATCAACGCTTATGCAGTAAAGAAATCTGTAGAAATGTACATTTTACTGTTACTAATTGCTTATTTGAAACTCAGATTCAGACATTTTTTGTTCATATTTATAAGTACAAAGTCAAAAGATATTATGTATGTAAATGTGAAGTGGATCTATGCACTGTAAGTATATTAAATAACAAATACAAAGGCGTCTGAATATGTGTTTTCCTTCACTGTATTAATAAAGGTTGAGGTAAAGACTTATTTTCAGAATAGAAATTGTTAAAAGCCACACAGTAAAAGCATAACCTGACTGCATCTCATCACCTTTGTCGTGCACATTTCAGGTACAGCAGGTTTAGTATGATGATTATAGGAATAGCAGTCATTAGGCTGATCCCAATTAGCATGACATCTGAAAAATAAAAAAGGAGTTTGTTCAACATGGTAGTGTGTATTTCTACAATCTGTGAAATGATATCAGCATGGGATGTAGAGTTTTATGAAGATAAAACCCTGTTAGTGTCAACTATACTGGCAAAGTCAACACCTCTATAACAAGAATATTCCATTTCCCCCGATTCTTAGTTATATATTTCTGCATAGCATTATCTGGATTCACTAAAGAGCTCTGCTTTTTAACAAAAGTATTGAAAACGGGTATGCAAAGCAGAAATGGATGTCTAGCTGGAAAAACTACAGATTCTCTAGACTGATATACTTGTGGTTTTTCATAACCTTCTTATTATCTTTCACTCTGACTTGTATTTTCTCCACTAAACAACACGATTAAATACACAAATTAATCCTAAATCTACACTAAAAAAGATTTTTAATGATGAATCATTATTGGCATTAAATTTTGTCCAAGACTGGGATTAATCCATGGCTGGGAAGCTGCATGTTTTGTTTTTTTGATTCGTTCCTCAGCAATTTCAGTGTTGGTACATGCTCCTGGTGTTCTATGCATTTTAGGGGCAGTCTGGGGAATTTATGCAATTTGGTTGGGAGGTCCAGTTTATTTAAAAAGCGTACTGTTTCTAGAACACCACTATAAAAAGATCAGAGGTTTTTGTCATTATAGGAATAAGGAAGCAGCATTACTAATCCTTGACACATTCTGCATACTAAAGGTAGACCTCCCTATCAAAAGGAGATCTGACTGATGCCAGAACTTCATACATCCCTCTCCAGACACAAAGGGCCACCTTACCTTCACGCACTTCTACAGCAAGGCCTGGGGTGGACACAAGTGGACTAATCGCCACATTCAAAGTTGAGTCAGCTGTGGTCTCTGTAAATACAGCACAAGGAGCTTGTGTTAGTGTTTGTTTTTATATTGTGCATTTTCTTAAAGGAGTGTTTCAGTGAACATTCAAATGTACACGATTTTCCACCAACCCTAAATGCAGCTGACTAGCCAAGACATGCTTGATGTCCAACCTTTGCTTCTTTAGTGTAGAACTGGAGTGTCTAGTTTGCACATGCCAAAATCTTCATATACGTCCATTACATTATGTAACATAAACTCGTTTAAAAAAAAAAAAACTGGTAAAATAGCATGGACAATCCTTTTATATACATTTAAGTTAAAATTGGAACGACATTATCATCCGCATGATGTCCTGCTTTCTGGTACTACTCCACCTTCAAACTCTGGGAGGCGCCACAATGTAACTGCACTGAAGGTGGAACGGAAAATTTGAATAAGAAGCTGGCGAATAAGAAGGTAACTTCAGCTTTGTGCTAAGAGGTGGATCCACAGAGCTTCTATGGGTACAGTATCCAACTGATGCATTTCTTCATGCATATATGCAGGTTTGAATACATATGGTTGAGGGATATTGTTGCAGATAATGAGGTCCTCAAATTCATAATCAGACGCTGTATCGATTTTCACTCACTTGGCTTCTCTACCTAAATTACTCTATGGTGTGTCTGTGTTGTTAATTACATTAGAATCATCTTTGGTTATCTTCTGAATGGTATTAACTTGTGCTCAGGAAAAAAGTGATCCCGCTTATCCAAAATGGCTGCCCCTTATTTAAGCTACGCAGCACTAAAGTTAAAACGAAGATTTTCTTTTTTCGTTTTTATAGTTCATAGTGAGTGATGCTGTGTTCTAAGCCAATTCAACCTGTCTATACGACCTAAATGAAGAATAAAGAATGTTGAGATGTTTTGGGCATGCATTTACGAAATGGTTAGGAAGATTATTGACTTGTAGTGTTTGTTAGCAACATTAGCCTTGTAGCCACAGTTTTAAACTAAAGAAGCAAAACTTTGACACTCAACATGTCTTGGTTTGGGGTGTGTGGATAATGCTGCAAATATGATTTTTTTTGCCAAACATTTCCTTTAAAATTTAAATAGATCGAGTCAGTCGTTTCAGATTAAGTTTGTTTTAGAAGTTTTTGAAGAAGCTGACAATATGCTGAGAATCTCTAGCTGGACTACTAGACTAAACTAACAAATATCATGTATTTTTATGGTCAATTAACTGACTGACAAAATGAAACCTCACTCAGAATGGTTAAGCTTTTGTATGTATATTTATAGCTTACATCTTCTGTTATGCTTTTTATAGTCTACATCAGGCATGTCAAACGCAGGACCTTCCAGGCTGAAGTGCTGTGGAGATTTACCCTCATCTAAAGCTCTGAATTCAGTTCATGAAGGCCTTGCTAATTGGCTGATGCACTGAATCGGTGTGTTGAATGAGGCAGTGTGCCAAAGTCTGCAGTGTTTTGGCCTGCGAGGACTGAAGCCTGACATATGTGGTCTACACGTCACCTTAACTGAGCATTTACATGCAGACTGCTAGGCTGTTTACAAAGTGTCTTTCCATGCAGATACACAGGAACTGAAAATGGTGATCTATTTATGGGAGGCCTAATGCAGTAGCTGATAGAACACAACATACCCCAGGGGACCTAGAGGCCAAGAGAAGCTGGTTTAAGAAACTGATGGCTTCTAAAAAATAGCTTTGCTGAAAAAGGTTCAGCAAAGAAACCACTAAGTTTTACTGTATATTATGATGGAACAAGACCTCGCAGAACAGTACACAGATATCTTATCAGCTTATTTCTGACAAGAGTGAGTTGATCAGTGTCAATGACTTAGCTGGAACAGCTGTTAGTTCGAAGAAGAACATTTGTACAGAGCCACACATCTTCCGTTGTTGCCCCTACTTCCTGTTGTACCTCAAACCACATGTTAAAAAATAGCACTTTATAGACTTAGTCATGTCTAGTACACTGAAACATCATAACTGCAGTGAGGAGACACTAGCTTGCTTTAAAACACATCTATTGACAAAAAAACAAAACAACAAAAGAGGACTATGCATTCCAACCTCAAAACAGCACTATGCATTCCAACAGTAGTAAAACTACAAAGGCAAATACTTTTGTCCTAAATTATTATAGACCACAACCATTTACAGTAGGAAGAGGCACGCCACTTCCACATTATTCGCAAATGATACTGTATTATGTGCTCTTACCACAAATTTAGAAATTGAAACGTACCATATTTGCTACATTTCTGCACATGTGAGGCAAGACCCATCAATGGACAGCTTTCAGTTTCAGCCCAAAACGACACTAGGGCCTTTCCCATTCGGTGTGTGAGGCGTTTTTTTTTCCATTGCCCATGTAATCATAATCCTGTATAAAATAACAAAACCTTGCCAAAAAGATGCAGACAAGTATGTTCATCTAAATTAGAACCTTTTTGATGGGCCTTCTTGTCTTAGAAACTGTATTAGAAGAGTTTGCCTTGTATTGTACAGCATGAAACTAACTTTGTGTGGTTTATTCTGATTACAACAAAACAAACTGCATGGATTTATTAGCTAAATAATGCCAGGCAAATAAATTTCAGACACTTATGCCAAACTCAGTGTTTTAGGAGTCTCTAAATCGGCCATTTTCTTCTCACAATGTACGTCAGACAGGACAGAGCTACTGCCTTCAGGAGGGTGATTCACAGGTGCAGGTTACTGGAAGTGGATGTGAAGTTTTTTCAGTAGATGGTGGAAAAACCAGCTGTCACACTGTGGGTTTGTTTCTGTTGAGTTTCAAACCAAAGGCAGGTAAACTCTTTCCATGATCCACATACAGCTGAGCACTGCCTGTAGATTTTACATAGGGACAGGTTTTGGGCACTTTGAGCTTTGTACAGGACACCAAGCATAAAAGCATACAGTAGATTTTGTGGCGTATGAATAAATGGTTATACTGTTTGTTAAAACCGTAGAGCACATCACACTTCCTCCCCAAACCTCCCACGCCCCCTCCCCCTCTCCCACATGCACTTTTTTTATGTGCACTTGCACACGAAAGCATTTAACCCTATTATGATGCATAGAACGTGGCTCATGTTTTGTAGCTCATTTTTCCTCTCTGCCTAGCATTTCCAAACGCAGAGAATGCACTGTGTTATCATAACTTCACACACCTAAAGTCCAGTTCTTAAGTACCAGGGTAATGCGCATTCTGTCAGTCTGCAGTGAGGAGAAACAAGTATTTGGACACTTTTGTTTTTGTTATATAATACAATTCCAGCGTATATATAGACTTATACACACATAATGTCTTTTGACTTTGTATTTACAATTCAAAAACATAAACAAAGACATGTTGAAAAACCTAAATTGGCTGTCTGTTTTTCTCTACGTGTCTGGTTAAGTGTTCCCACTTTGGCATTGCTGATGCCGGCATGTGATTGGCTGTTTCTGTTGGAGCCAGCTATAAAAGGCCTTTGGTACTCATCAATGGCGAGTTGATTTGATTCGGCCCCGCATTGCTCCGCTCCACTGGCTGCCCGTCAGCCGACAGGCCAGCTTTGCTAGTGATTTACTGGCCTACAGGCACATGTGGGCCAGTAAAAATACTTCTAGAATTTTTTCTATGTTCTTTTGAGATAAAGAATACAGAAAAAAAGTTTTCAGGGATAACTCTAAATGACACTCAAATGGAACTCAAAAGTTTTCAGGGATAACTCTAAATGACACTCAAATGGAAAAAACTACAGAGTCATTGTGAAGACCAGTGTTTAACCCCTTATAATCCAAGGCTTATTACATTCTAAGGGTTATTATTTAGTAACTACAGGGACATCAATGCAAACTGGTTGAGCTATTCTTAGGTTGTAGAAGTGTGTGATAACACTTTGGTCATGCCAGCTGGCCATATATGGGGTTAATGTACAAATGCAATTGGTTTAATAATATGCAAGAGAGTGATGCACAAAAATTTGCATGTAAATTGTGCACACAACAAATTGGACAAATTAGAACTTTTAGAACAACGTACTCTCACTGGATGAAACAAAAACAGAACTTTTTGGCAATAAATCAGCTTGTCAGCTTGAAAATGAAAACTTTGAAGGAGTTTGAAATTGTGAGACCTTTGTAACCTTGGGGAATTGAGGACAGTTTGGCAAAAGAAATGGGCCAAAATTGAACCACAATGCTGCAAAAAGCTAATTACTTCTTACCATAGATGCCTTAAAGCTGTAATTGCCAACAACAGTTTAGCTGCAAAGTACTATATTAATCAATGGTGTCTGAATATTTTTAAACATGTCTTCGTTTATGCTTATGAATACATATTTTTATGTTCACATTTGTGAGTGCAAAGTCAAAATACATCATACGTATACATTTAAAGTGGATAAATGTACTGGAAGTACATTAAAAAATCGAAACCAAAACTGTCTGAATACTGTCTGAATGTTTCCCCTCACTGTAGAAAGGAGTTTTCATGTGAATTATCACTGCATAGATTATACGTGTAAAGCAAATGAAACTTCATGAACATACTTTCATCTTTCAGACGGATTTGTCCAAAAGCAGGATCTGATACTCCCTCTGTGCTCTCAACATACAGTGAGAAGTACACTGTACATGGTAGTGTACCTGAAATGACAAGTTAGCAAAGAAGATTTAACATTAACATTTAACATTATGAACATTTTGCAAACATTAAGGAAAACTGTAAATGATACAGCATACTTAAATAAAATCTGCAGTAGTTTATACAAGATGCTTGTCTGGATGTGCATGTGTTGACTTTGGAGCACTTCCTCTTACCATCAAAGAACGTTGAATTCTGATCATTTGCAATTCTCTTCCACTGCATTTCTTTTGGGCTGCATTTCCACTCAACTACAAAACCCGGTGTTTGTTCTGGGGTATTGCTGTATGACAGAAGAGACGAGTTCCAGGCCAAGTGTATTCTGCCCCCTGCTGCTTGGCTTAAGTATATGGTTGGAGCTGGTTTCCCTGCAGTATTCATATAAATAGATTTTAATTTTTGTTTTATTTGACAATTTTACAATATATTACATATCGTTCATGTCGTTCAATGTACCTCTGTAAAACTTTAACTTTTATGTACATTAATTTAAGAACATAAATCTTTTGGTCCATTCCTATTGGTCCAAACACCAAGAAAAGTTCACACAGTGAAGGGCAGCTGTTGTTATCAAATAGTGTTAAAAACTGACAGGGTTTTGATACAGCAGAAATTATTTACTAAATGATAAAATCCTAGACAATAAAGTCTTAGCCTTCTACTAATATAAAAGAGCAAATAAATAATTCGTCCCTCTACAAATGCTTAAATGCAAGTGTTTATTTCAGATATATAAGACATATATAATTGAATTTGATATTTAGCACAGTAAATTTAATAAAAAAATAGTGTATTCTTAGTATTCATAAAGCATTGTGTCAATAGTCTACACTGCTGGCCAAAAGCCATTCTTTGCTTTCACAAAAACAATTTAGATGTTTAGTGTGATACTATTGCAGGAACTTGATTAGAAGAAAATTCTCCAAGATGTAAAAAAGAACTAGCCTCTTCTAAAATTCCTCAGTGACATAAATTAGCGACAGTAGCCTCGGTTTTGTAATCACTGGGCCTTTTTTTTTCAAACATGTAAATAATAATGAGCCAGATATCTGACTTGATGAACTTCTTTACAAGCAGCTCAAACTTTCACATCATCTTTTGCTTAGCTTTATGTTATACATCTCAAGCGCTACACATGCTAAATAACCTATCCATGCTCCGCCCACAAATGCACTCTTTTTATTAAGTAGTGTTGTTAAAATAATGCTATGAGTCTTTTTGAACTATGATGTGGAACACTGGTTTATTGCACACATTATTCACAGGGCACATGTGTGACATCTGCTGGTGAAGAGGATACTGTACAGTCAAGAAAGACACGATTAATGGATCAGGGATCCTATTAAAGGTGATGCACATGCACATGAATGAGACTCATTCAGACTGAGTCTGAACTTGCTGTAATATTGTTTCTATAGAATGTAAACTGTAATCTAATGGTGATTATAATTCCCTTTAATCTCATTTGTTTTTAGTATTGTAATCGTGGTACCCATGTTTGACCAGAGGAAGATGGGTTCCTCTTTTGAGTCTTGTTGCCTTTAAGTGCTTTTTTCTTATGCTCATAGAAAGTCACGCTCATTAGGGAGCTGCATCCACCCACATTTCTGAAAAAGCAGTTTTGGGCAATGTCTGCCATACAAGTGGTATACAAGAACTGAACTGACCACTCTGCCAAAGAGAATGTTGGTGGACTTGTCTGCCCTCATGCCACTCTTTGTCCCTACAACACTGTCCATATTATTACAGCCTTTACAGTCCTGGTCCTCATTTCTGTTGAGCAGAGGGATGGCCCAGATCACTTTAGCTTTGTTCTCACCTCTCAATATTAGTTTACAATGGGCTGCTCTGGTCAGCAACTAGGCCTCTCTCTTTTCTTTCTGTGGTCCACTGAAGACACTCTCACTCTACAGAGAACCAATTTTTGGACAGTTGCTTACGGTCTCCATGCCTCTAAGGGCCCAGCAAGCATCTAGTTTTTTATTTATTTACTTTTTAATTATGTTTGTATCAGTCATGATATTAACAAAGCAAATCTCATATGAAGACATCGCTGATTCATATTCAAAATTAAGTGAGATAAATGTAATTGATAAATTTAATTGACTATCCAGATTTTTTAGCACAAAACTATTGCGATAATTATTGCTCTATAATCTAGTAAAATGCTTTGAGCCCACATCTTCATTCCCAAAAACCTTGATTACACAAAAAATACTAAACCTGATCTATCTTACAAATGTGATTTTTCACACACTTCTGTAAAGTTTGCCAAACCTGGCAACTGTTGCCACAGAAGAATGTAGAGCACAGAAAGGTCAATTATTCAGCACAGAAGATTCTCACCTGTATAGATCAGCCTTACAGGAGCTGGTGGGGAGTTTCCTGCTGATGTGACAACACTTACATTCACCTCCGTCACCTCTAGAGGCAGCTGTAGCGTGTACTGAGAGGCAGCTGCTGAGAGGTTTAGTGTGTGTGTGACGCCGTTCTCTTTATAAACCAACTCATAACCCAGTAAGTCTCCTTTATAGTCTTCTGGTGTAAAAGCCTGAGAACAAGCAAAGAGTTAACAGAAATGAGAGACCAGTAAGGAGTTCTCACTCAAGATCTATGTAAAGCTAATGTGTGCCACATGACCTTGTTGATTAACTATAAAGGTGAATTTAAAAAATTGACTTTTATATGCACTATATATTAAAAACACATATATACACTGTACACTCACTGTATACTTAGCCACTGACTGGACAGGCCCATTGGGCACCAGCTGGACACTACATTACATCTCTCCACTCATATTACTATGCACTGCCACTTTGATTATACATTTAGTCATATTTCATATTGCACTGTCACTTTGTTTATTTGTCCACAAATATTGCACATTGCACTGTCATTTTGCTTATGCATCCATAAACGTCATATTGCACAACTGTTAACATCTATTGCTACAGTCCATAGTCAATAGTTCATACATTGGAGGGACAGGCACCACTGCATTGTCAACTGCATAGTATTTATGCATTTACTTTGTATTTTAGTACTGCACATTACTTCTCTTGTTTATTGTTTTAGTATATTTTATTGTACTATTTATCTCTTGTTTTGCTCTTTACTGTGCTTTGTACTGCTGCAATAGAAGAATTCCCTCTGGGATTAAAAAAGTGATCTATCTATCTGTCTATCTAGCTGTCTATCTAGCTATCTAGCTATGTATCTATCTATCTATTTATCTATATCATATATATAAATCACATCCCAACCAATCTAAGCCTTTTAAATAAGACCAAAGGCTAATCACTTAAAGGTAAACATACAATTAAAAATATCCATTGAGTGTTTGATCCATATATTTGTGTTTATGTGAGTTAGGTGCAGACTATATCAACATTCTGAATTTTCAGTGTAGATGGTGCAGTTTTTGTCCTGTAGAGGGAGCAGTTGGTCTTCCATTTCTCATTCCTTGTGCCTCCTGTTGAGTCCCTTAAACTTCAGGTTTATTACTCAATTATCAATCTTAAGATTTATTATTCACTAATTACCATGAATTTTTAGGGAACTACCTAAAATAAGGTAAGCACACTGTGATACATGTTGGGAGGTGGAGCTAAACATAGAACCATGCCCTTCTCCTCTTTTGAAGGAAACTATGGTGGAGCAATATCTTTGGCAGGGCTAAACATATTTACAAATAAAATATAGCAGACTAAAGGTGTAAATAAAGCATACTTAGAGTCATGGAATCATGTATGTATAACATGAAGGTAAGTTACACTAAATGTCTAAAAATATTAAAGACACCCTTTCAAGTCAGTGAATTCAGGTAATTTAAGGTGCACCTCTTCCTGACACAGGTGTTCATTTGCACACACAAAGCCTAAGGTCACCATGTTCAATGCCCAGCATGTGCTAGAGGGCTGTAAAGATCTCCAATTTTGTATCCTCTGGGGTGATGATGACTATCCAATAGCTTTGGGATAAGTTGAAAAACTGTTCATGATCCAGAACCAATCATCCAACATCAGCAACGGACCTCACTAATGTTCTTGTGATTGCAATCAAATCCTGACAATGTTCCAACATCTAGTGTAAAGCCTTCACAGAAAAGTAAAAACTGATACTATAGCAAAGGGGGAACAAACTCCCTATTAATACCCCTGATTTCAGAAGAAACACTGGATGAACAGGTTTCTACAAACTTTAGAACTTATAGTGTGGTGTATAAAACACATAATGTTACATAATGTTGTACATAATTACACTAAAACAAATTATCTATATTACAAATTTATATCTGATGATCTTTCACAAAGACTGTGAAATAGGACTGCCCCTTACTTCTTATACCATAATACATGTAAATTAAGGCTTAAGTTCTCTACTTGACTGAGAAATCCTGCGTTATGAAATACCCAAAGAGGGGGGAGATAGAGAGAGCAAGCCTCTATCAGTCGATCAGTAAGTTAACAGACTGTATAGTCACATCCTTCACTGAGAAGAGGAAAAGACTCATGAGAGACATGAGAAAATGAACTTTAGTCTAAGCAACTGGACAAGAGAGAAAAAGAGAAAGCAAAGGTATTATTAAATGAAAGTATCATTCCTGAACTAATGTTTTCATGACTTTGACATTTGTATGAATATAAGAAGAGAATATTAAGAGGTCTCAACTATAACAGTGAACATTTTTTAATAAAAAATTTAATCTAATTATAGAATAAAAAAGTCTGGAAGAGACAGAAGAGACAAGAGCCGAAGGACAGAGAAAGCGACAAGCCAGTTTTACTGATAATGGAGAAGAAACTAGAAAACGGACAAGGTAATGAAAGAGCAGGATAGATAAATTAGAGAGAAAGGAAAAAAGATAAGAGAAATAATGAAAGTAGCAAGTGCAAAATGAGACGTGGATACAGAGGTAATAGATTACCACAGAAAAGAGAGACATGAAGAGGGACAAAGAGATCATTTTCTCATTTCTTTCAGCAGGGCTGTTGGTTAACTCTGCATATGGCCCTGTAATACCAATTGTAATACCAACCTTCCACAACACTGTAACATTCTGTGTGTCGCTCCCATTGTTTCTCATGATGACTCTCCACACATCGAGCTTGCTTGAGGGTGCTGAGGATGAGAATTAAATTAAAATAAATCACCAAAACAAATAAAAATCAGCAAGTAGACTTATATAGGCAGGATATCACAAAAAAGATATTCACAAATGTCAGACTATCAACTATGCAATATTCACGATTATAAAACGCATTGTTCTGTTTCTAAAAATGGATTGGCTTGTTCAACACTGTTGTAAAACACTGAATATACACCTATATGATTGCACATGCCAGTTAAGTTCTGTGTTAATGCACCATTGCTAATGTATTCATTGTATGTGCTGTATGTGATGGATCACTACAGTTTACTGTTAATCAATTTCATTGCTTGATGGAAAAATGGTTTATTATTAACAACAAATAACTGAACATAGGTGTATTTTATTACATTTGGTCACTTTTTATGAAAGCAATATGTCTAACAGCACCCCTCACGTGTGAAAATCACTGTAATGCACACCCTCTCAGGGCTTATTGCTTTGCTCCAACCACCATCAGCAAGGTCAAAAATAAACATTAAATAAAAAGAAATATTTTATCAACATGCAGTGCAAAGCAGGGTTCTGATTGTAGTCTCATAAAGCAAGGGTCTGATTATAGTCTTAGTGGCCACTTTTACCTTGTCCAGGGCTTTTTTGACTGACCAGCTGACTCCATAAGCTGCAGTTGTACATCAGTGAGGCGGTGCAGACTCTCAGCTCAAACTCATAAGAGGTCAGTGGCTCCAAATCATCCAGCATCAGTAGTTCTCCTCTGTGAAGCCGAGTGACATTTCCTTCCATCTAATCAGATACATAGATACATGAATAAAAGCTCCTTCAGCATTTAACAAGGAACCTGCTTTGATAAGTGATCATCTGCTGCAATAATGTGAAAAACATCTATGTGATGGTATGATGAGTCTCAGAAGAGGGAGACACTATGATGCTGGACATCATATGTGGTCCACTGATGTTTATATCAGTCCACTTTGGATGAATCTTCATCAGTGAATCCATGCTATAATTCTATTTCTACCACCTGGATTGCAAACATTTTATTTCTTTCACCCAGATTGCAAAGGTAATTTCCGCTGTCCCCTACTCTTTGCAAACATTTTGCCTCATTTATAAGAAAAACCATTAAAAACATCCACTGCTTACCCAGGTCGAAGCATCATTCGTTTTCCTGAACCTCACTCTGGGTTTTAGAAGCTCCATATCATCTGAGCTCTGCCAGTGGATGGTGGGTGATAGGGAGCCTTTTGCAAACGCAATCTCCTTGATTTGCGGAGTACTCAGAATCACTAGAAAGAGTTGAAAAAAGAAAAATGTTTATTTCAGTGATTGTTTAAAGCAGTGATTTCGAACCCTGCACATTGTTTTTCTCTTCTCTTGAAGACTTAACCTCAGAAAGGCCTTGTTAATATGTTGATAAGACCACTAGTGTATTGCTGTAGGGGACTTTCTGATCAATTGTCAAAAATGTATATTACAAATATGCTATCAGTTTTACTCAGCATGGGGAGAATTAAAAAAGCAGGTCGCATTAGTCAGACAGACAACTTGAACAATTCTGAAAAAAGACAAAAAATACAATAACAATTGTTTTTGAACAAGGAAGGTATTGTCCAGGCATGCTTTGCATGCTCAAACGGACACTTCATTCCCTTTTTTTTTGTTAGGTATTTTTCATTGCCATTAGATTCAGAGCAAAGTACTGCTCAATGTTCAGTAACGCTGTGTAGAGTCTCAGGCCAAACCATCAAGTCGACAATGAACAAAGTGTTACAAGTGCAAGCTTTCCTATTAGGCAATAATCAAAGTTAATAGGCCTACCCGCATATTCAGGTGAATGTATAAGCTTGATCATCCATGGTCAAATGACATGTTGTGTTGATTTTCTAAGTGAAAGTAAGTACACACCCTATAAAGGGAACACACTTATATATAGCATTTTCTGCAAAATTTCTATTTCTATAAGTAAAATGTAAAATGTGCCTGATGTTCCTGAAAGTGACTAAAATGTATTTTTGAACAGGCTACACACTTAAAAAAGATGCTTCTTAAAGGGTTCTTAAGTAAAGAAAATGGCCCTATATAGAACCATGAACACCCAAAAATCCCTTTGCATGATTAAAGGGCTCTTTGCATTGTGAAATGGTTCTTTCTTTGGATTGATAGAAAATGTGTTTTATATGGTTCAATATAGAACTCTTCTGAAGAGGGTTCTATATGGCACCAAAAAGCGTTCTTCTATTGTTACAGGCTTGACATCATAACAATAGAAGAACCTTTTTGGTGCTATATAGAACCCTTTTCAAAAAGGTTCTATATTGAACCATCTACAGCACATTCTCCATCAATAAGAAGAACCAATCAGCGTTGCAAAGGATACTTTAATCATAACGGTTCTATATAGGACCATTCTCTGTACTAAATAACCCTTTAAGAACCATTCCTTTTTTTAAAGAACCCTTGAAGAACCAACTTTAAGAGTGTATATTTTGCGTATCCACTCCTGTGGTATGTTGAATTCAGCAAATAAACTTAAAAAAGTAAACTTCTTTTCACTTCTGTGGACAATCAACAGAACATGTAATTTGACCAGGGACACACGAACTTTTGCCTACGACAGGACATAATATAGCAGCTGTCTTCCAGGATTTATAGTAGCCGCCTTCCAGGATTTGGCCTAAGTTAAAAAAAAAACCTTGCTATTTTGTGTGTATATTTCACAGTAGTCATTTTACATGCGCTCCACTTTTTCTTTAGACCATTCAGTCCTTGTCACCAAGCAACTATGATGCATAATAAGCTTTCATAATCATATTCTCTGATAGTTTCATTTCAGTCATTACCACATCCCGTGCTTGCAGAACTTCAAAAAGAGTTCTTCGTTTTATGGCCAGCTAGGAGTTGGTTAGACTTTCAGCTTCTGATGCTGGATCAGTAAAGAGGCTGCTATTCTTGGATCAGTGAGCAAACTGCAAACCCAACAATTACCAGGAAAAACATAAGACTAAAGGACTTTGATCTGGTTTGAGCATTTTAACATAGACTACATTTCTGCTCTTACATAAGCAGTTACTTCTTACTTCACAAGAATATCTGTTTATCTGTATGTCTGTGTCTCTATACTTCTGCTTAGTTTTTCAGTTCTCTTTCCAAAACTGTCAATGTTTATCTATAGTTACATATATAAATATGTGCTTAATATAATTGTATTTGCACATTATCATATGTAAATGCGTACATAATAAATACTTGTGTTTAAAGAAATGTTTACTTTAAAGAGTTATCTCCTGCTACTTATTTGTCTAGCTGCAGAGTCCAGATCCAGCCAACATAACTGGTAAGTTGGACCAGCTGTGCTGGATAAGGGTTAAAACTAAACTGTTCAAGAATGTAAATCTCCAAGCAGAGGGCTGCTGCGTACCAGTCTAAAATACAGAACTGTGCTCTTAGACTCTCCAGCTTCAGATGATCTAGTCTCCTCTCTATGGAAGAGATTTCCACCAAGTAAATTGTGTTTTTTTCTCTATTTCTGGTAGAGGTATATCAAAATATTGAAATAGTATCTCAAAATAATTACTTCTTTTCTCAGAATATTGACTTAATATTTCAAAATAGTGACAGATGTTTTTGAAACAATGACTTAATATCTCGAAATAATGACTTCTTTCCTTGCAATATTAACAGTATATTGAAATAATAACTAATTTTTTCAAAATATTGCTTTAATATCTCAAAATAATGACTTATTTTCTCAAGATTTTAAGAGACCTTGTTGAAATAATGAGTTCAAATTTTATGACAAGAATTATTTTTTGGGAATAATATGTAATTATGATAAGATACTAACATAGTAACAAAGTAAGCCATCACTTTGAAACTGTAAATCAATATTTTGGGGAAATAAGTGAGTATTTCAACATTGTCATTATTGTTAAGTAATTAATTTGACATAGTAAGTGAGCAATTTGAGAAAGTAATTCATTATGTTGAGATACTAACTCAAATTATTGACATACTGCTGCTAGAAACAGAAAAGGAGAAAAAAAAGGTAGGTCTTTTTTTCTCCTCTATCTGGTGGGAATCCGCTTCCCACCAGACCTTCACTTCTAAAAAAACCATCAGAAAACAAACACTTGTGTTTGAGCTTTAATGTGGTGCCTGTAAAAATAAAAGTTCTTAAATGGTACTTGGCTTGGATGTATGGTTCTAGGAAAACCTTTCTTTGGTCTAGAACCTTTACATTACAGTTTTAAAAATAATGATGCCCAAAGGTTCTTAGTGGTTTGATGCCATAAAAGTGGATGGTTCTTTGGAGAACCACTTTTCTAAATGAGACGAGTAAGCTTATTCAAGTTTAAAGAATTTTGCACATAATGTAAAAGTTCTAGAAAGAACCCTTAAATTGGTATCTAGATTTTCTGTTACGATTCTCTCTTTTTTAAACATGGTTCTTTAGCGAACCAAAAGTGGTTTTTCCTTGGCATTCTTTGGCAAGAGGTTCTTTAAAGAATCATCCATTTAAAGATTCTTTAGGAAAACTAAAGTGGTTCTTCTATGGTGTTTCTTTTTGAGCACCTCATTCTTAAGGTTGTGACTGTGATATGGAGAAGTAATTGAAAGGGGTATCATACCCTCAGCCACGATGTTCCGTGCACAAACGAGGTGACGCTTCCCTTCTTGCACCACCATGCAGTACAGTGTGAATTCTGGCTCCCTGACAATAAGCCGTGCTGTCACATTGGAGCAGCTGATTTCGTGAAGAATAATCTGTTCATCAAGCTGTATGATGAAGGGTCTGTTACACTGCACAGTGTCAGACTGGCAGCGCACAGTAAGGTTGGAACCCATAGGGATGATGTCTTTATCTACTGTCAACTCTCCGGCACACTTGATACTGTAGCAGTCTGAAGAGAAGAGCAGCAACATTTAGAGCAAAGTATAACACTCCAAAGACATCTGACTGAGGAAAACGGCTGTTCAACTCAAAACAGCAAAAACAATAAAATCATAGAGCTTCACAGCAAGCTCACTCACCTCCAGGTATGTAGAAGAGCAGTAAAAGAAAGATAAGCCGCACAACTTCTCTGAGGAAATCCATGTCATGATTTTCTCGCTCTGACTCTCTTTGACAAATGACATTGTACAGCACATGAAGCGTTACTCTATATCTCTTATCTCTATCGCTGTTCTCAAAAAACTTTTAAGTGTTTACAGAGAGGTCATCACCACGGTGGCTTACCATATCTCTGCTCTTCTTCCTCCTCTGATAAAATGATTATCTCCTTTGACGGTGTTGTCAAGTGACCCATATGTGCATCGAAAAATCGCTTGCGTCTCGGATCCTCACTGTTGATAAAACAGGAGAAAAAAAGAAGAAGAAATAGATTTATTACCTGAACACCTTAAGCAAGATCGTGGGTTTGCTCAAACTGTCACCAACCGTTCTGTGCAGATGTCTGATGTCATTTCGCTGAGCTTTTTTCTCAGAGTTAGTGTTCTCTTTTAAGGGGCTATGACCTAGATTTGTGGCTTCGTGCCTTTTGCTGGAACTTCAAGTCTTCACACGTGGGTGTCCCACTTCACCAACCTCCTTTTTTAGTCATCGCACTTTTGTTTAAGATCAGGCTCTTTCAGATGTTGCAAGTATTGGAAAGATGAACTGTTTGAAACTTAAAGAACTTTTTAATTCTCAATTAAAGAACTTCACAAACGTCTACGATCCCGATACCTCGACCATTCCTTAACATTTTGCAAATTTCAAAGTACACTAAGACATTTAAGAAGAACTAATCTCCATAGAGGTTCTTATTCTGCTATTATATTAAGTCATGGTAAGCAAAGTAATCCTTATCTTCGCACTTAGCACTCACCAAGCTTTCTCAGTGGTCACTTCTCATTTCTACAGCGTTATCACAAAGGCTCACTGAGGAGCTTTGAAGGATCCAGAGCTCACAGACAAGTCTGAAGAGTCTGAAAAAGGTACAAACAAGCCCTTTAAAAAGAGATCTTAAAACCTTCTAATGAGACGTTTGACTCATTGGTTGATTTTGTGAGATAATCTGGAAACTTCTAAAACTAAGCAGGAAAGAAGTATCAAAGCATGAACTTTGATCTGAGCGGCTTGTATTACTCAGTTTAAAACTGATCAACTGATCACTGTGTTTAAAACTTCTTAAAAAACATTCTCAGCAAATCTATATGAACCCACATTCTAACCAAGCAAAAATCAACCTGCATCTGTGGAAAAATTCAGTTAATTACTTTCCAACCTACCTACTACTATACATTTTCAACCTGAATGAGCTACAAAATGTGCATATTTCCTGAGAGCAAGCATAGAACAGTTATATAAGCACAGACGAGCACTTGTGACTGTGATTAATCCAATAAGATGCGCTGCAGGCTGCAATAGAATTACTGTACCATGTCTTCACGTGTCTCCTGTCCTATTTAGAGCGTGCGAATGCAATAGCCCCAAAAGTCTGTCTACTCCACATTTCTGATCTTTCTGCTTTTAATTTCCATCCTTACTTCAAAGGCCTTCTGGGGAAGCCCCACTAGACCAGTAGATTTACAAATGACAGCGTTAGCACAGTCTTGGCCTAGAAGATGATCAATTACCTTTCATCAGTAAAGATAATTAGATATTATCCACAATCCACTGGAACACTGTAAAAAAACAATGTTTGTTTGATGTAAAACAGTGCAGTTGATATGGCAACAATTTGGTTACAGTTCATGTGAAACTCACAGTTCTAAACCTCAGGAAAGTGATAACCACATTTCTTTATAAAAATGAGAGAAAGAAAACGTGAAGAAACCACAAACCTATTACAGATGTAAACACCTGAGCAAATACTTCTGTGAGTCTGCTGTATAAGTCTACTGGCGTCACCTACACACAAAATGAATCATATTCGTATTGCTGTGTGAAGCCTTAATTATGTTTTTTTTCTTGTTACTTGGTACTTCTTTGCTTTATTCTATGCATTTTTAACAAAGTTATCTATACTAAACACCCTGTTTCTTCACTAGTTGTTCCTCGTAACTATCAGCTTTATTTTCGTTTGATCTTGGCTAAATTAGAGAAGCTATATGAAAATTATGTCTCTCAGAGGAATGAAGTGATCTCAGTCATTTTTCATTCAGAAAACTAAGATTATAATTTGAGTAACTGGAACGCCTCTCGTTAGGTGTATGCAAAGCTAGTGTAGGGATAGGATAATATGACCTCTTGGGTTATTCCCTGGGGAAATTGCTTTTGATTTACTCATAAACCACTATTAAAAGGTTTTATGCCGAATATTGACTCATTCTGAACACTACACGGCCGCCTTCAGTGGGGGTTATCATTTTGTTTTGATCATTGTTTGACTAATGTCCATTGTGTACAGTTACAGTTATCTTAACTGACTTTCCCTTATGTTTTATCTTTGTGTAGAAACTGTAAGATGCCTTTTCAGCACACTGACTTAACGTTGTTTTACAACCAAGTTCAGTGTTGGGTTTGTGGTCTTGTATGCTACCGTTTATACACAATTTGTTGAGAATAACTACACTGTGCAAGATACAACTTAAATATGTTGGTCTATGTAAATGTGAATTGAATATTAAACAATTAATTAATTGAATACAAAAATTGAAAATTGTTGGGTTATAATGTTCATTTTAGTTATTCCAACACAATCTGACTCAGTACTAAGAACACATAAAATATTTAACTAGACAGGCTTAAATATTTGAGTTTTACCATTTAATTTAAATTTTGTTTATTTGAGGCTGATATATTATTGAATATTAAATTGTAAGTTATGAGAATAACAATCTGGGTCTTTCTGTTATATAAACTTTTTTTCTAATGTTCAACAAACAGAATTTTAAGCCAACCATTTTATTTACTTTTTAAAGTTAGACAACAAATGGTTCTTCACAGGCTTCACAGTCTATTAAACAACTTTTTGGACTTAACTTTGTGAGCTCTGGTGGGACTGACAACAGTTATTTTTTAATACTTAACCATTAATCATTACTCCAGGCAACTAACTAAATAAATTAACACATTAGAAATATCTTGATAAACTGTTTAATTTTATATGCATTTTTTAAATCCTAATGAGAAAACTTTAAATAAATTAAAATTTAAATAAAAAATTGCAGAAAATCTTTCTAAAAAAAACAACAACTTGTTGAAGCTATTTAAAAACTTTAAAAAATGTTTCTAAATATTCGTCCATGGCGCTTTTGTGTTGTCAGGGAATCGACAAGCACTCTGAACTTTTCATGTTGAGCTTTTTGTTTATTTTATTCATCAACAGCAACTGAATTGAATTTTGCATTAGCTTCATTCGATGTGTGTTGCAATGATGTTGGCACTTAATGCGAGACACATTGGTTTTGCATAGTTCTCTGTTCATTCCTTTTTAAACACTGTTTCCGTTGTTGACTTTCTTTTTTAACAAGCCATGGAGTCGCTTCACTACTCAAACCACAAATTAAAAAAAAAATTTAATCTATGAAAATATTGAAATTATTTTGGTTCTAAACTGGTATGTAGTCTCACAGCTAGTCTCTGTACAGTAGTTTACATAAATGTGTCTGGCTGGATAAACTGTAGCACAGTTTATCCAATGCACTTGCTACAGAAAGTGCATTGGCTCATGTTCATGTGTGCTGTTGAAATATGGCTGTTTTTGCTCTGTTTTGGTTGGTTAACAACCTCTGATATATGTCCCATTATAAGGAGATTGAGAATTTGAACCACTGCCATAACCTCCCAGAAGAAGAAAGATGTCAAAATAATATATTGTTTACTTAACAGAGGTACTAAAAATGTAAGGTAGGTGAACCTTTGACTAAACTAAGAAGTTTGAGGTGGGTGAACTCCAGTGCCTTTGAGTTAACTAAGAAAAGATGCGAAGTTCCCTTAAATGTTTAAGTTATCTTGACTTTTTCACAGTGTTCAAACTGATTACTGAATTGTTTCATTTGAACTACAGTTGTTAGAATTAATTAACAGTGCTATTCAGAAGGGATCTACATCTTTTCAAGGCCCAGAGTCAAATTTCATGAATCTTGTTTGACTGAAAGTTTAACAAATTAAAATAGGTCTCCATTATCAATGATTTACAAGTAAAAGACCACCTATCAACTTTGGTTTCACCAATTAAATGACACTCCACACGACGATATAGGACAGTTGTATCTGATGCAGGACCTGTAAAAGAGAGCGCACTTTGTAATATGTTTAAAACCTGCAGGCCAAAACACTTCTGCTGTTGTCATAAAAGTTTAAGACATTGGATTCAGCAAAAACATTTCTCCAAAAATGAAATGACACTTTGTACGGGGTAAAAAGCATGCTGCTTATGATTCTACAACAGAATCTTAATGGGTTATGTGGTCTGCTGACCTCGATTTTCTGGCGGAAAATAAAATGGGCACACGCTTTGAACTCTATGTACGGTACACAAGCAAAGCTCCAGCACTCACTTGAAGTCATCAACGACATGAAGATGAAATCAGGTGAAAAGGGTCAGCAGCACTAAATTGTGACCATGACACCCAGCACAGTGAGCGAAAGATGCAGCTGTAGAGCCTTAACCATTTCCAAACTAGTCCCACAGTTACCACCCAATACCTTTTTCGGCTCATCAATACTTCATGAAATTAAATCCAGTCTGCTGCGACAGAATTCAACTGGACTACAAGGAGAAGTCAGGAAGCACCATAGTAATAACCTCTTTGAGCACAAGAAATTCTCATTACTTATTGCTTATTTATTTTTATTCTAATGTTATACAGAGCTGTACAGGAAAAAACACACTTACTGCCAAGATAAACAGTTTCACAGTTTTCTTGGCTGCCTAAGACTTTTGCTCAGTCCTGTTTAATTTCAAAACTTGGGGACGAAATCTCATAGAATCAGAATCAGTTTACTTGCCAACTGCACTTGCATGTACTAGACATTTTCGTCTTTCGGTAATTGGAGCATACCTAAATGAACAATAAAGAACTGAAATAATACACATAAATGCACAGATACAGTCACAAACACAATATATACATTTTGCATATGTGATATACGTATTTCACCCAAAATGTGACTCATTCTCATGACCACTTTCCATTAATTTTTAGCAACAATAACATCATATTCAACAACAAACTTCAGAAAGAAGGACAGAGGCCATGGCTTAAACCCACAGCTTTAGATGTGAAACACACAACCACCGCACCGCAGTTTTGCAAGGCTGGCATGGTTCTTCAGACTTTAAACAACTTAACAAAAAGCCAGAGAGGGGTTTCACGATGAAATGGTGACATTCGGTACTGCGGTGCATTAGCAATACTTCTGAAATGAATCTTGAATAGAGAAAGAGAGCAGACCTACTTTAGATAAGGTCTTTCACCTGGAATGAAAGATGATGAAGAGAGCTGAGACAATGTTTCTAACAATTAAAATGATAAATAATTAGAATTACAAAATACAATCTCTCTACAATAAGAAATAATGGATGGAATAGTAATTCCAAGAAAATAAATAAAAAATGGCAGGAGCCTTTGTCCTTCATATATATGATTATAGAGATCCAGACCTAGGGCTGGGCACTATGACAATATTTATCGTGAAAAATTATGCAACATGTCGCCACATGCTTTTCTGATCATATTGTGAATATTGTCAGTATGTCTAGAACACTTACCAACTGCATGATCCATTACAAAGAGAGCATATTTAGGCTTGTTTCATCTGAATTAGTGTAGCACAGTAGGAGAAATGTTGAATAAAAATCTTTTGTACTCTTAGCTGTTGATAGAATTTATAAATGTTCATTTTAGTTGTTTTTTGTCTGTTCCAGCTTATCACACCTCAGCAAAACACATACTGTGGTATATCAAGTATGGTGAATACTTCTGAAAGTGTCATGATATTATATTTTTGCTATATTGCCCACCTCTGTACAGAACAAACTTTACCGGCTCTAAATGCAAGTAGGTTAGATTTTCTCTTTCACCATATTTTAAAAGGCCGACATTTTTGTTCAGAGTTCCATTAACCGTCAGTCAGACCACTGAGTGTGCTAGTTAAAACGTGCTTACCTGTTTCTATGAGTTTCTGGAGTTTTGAATGACGTGTAACGTTTACATTTATTTTTCATAACATTTTAATATTAGCTAGCTGATGGCTAACATACTGTGAACTCGCTCACTGCGTCAGTCGAGAGAAGCTGTAATGTGGAGGTGGACATGAGCTCCGACCGCAGCGCTTACATGTACAGAGCACTGACTGACTGGTGTAGCACTAGCCGGTAGTAGAGCGCAGTAAAGTTAGCCCTTGCTAACGAAAACAGACGCTTTTACCGTTACTGAGTGCGGACAGGTAGGTTAGTGTTCTGCAGTGCACTAACTAGTGCACCAGTAGAGAGAGCGAAGGCAGGAGCTCCAGTTGGAGCCCAGCCGGGCCCGTTTCGGCCGAGGGCGTGGTGTTCCGAGGTGTTCCGAGGTGAGCTCCGTTGCCATGGC